GACCGAAGACGTCCTCCACATCGAGCACCCTTACCTTAAGAAAATATTCCTAGCGAATTAATCATAATTTTAATAACTACACCGTTAGAATAAATATCAGGGTATGACAAAGTATGTTTTCTCCCATCAACAAAGCTGAAAATATTCCGTTGGACCGAAGATGTCCCCAGGCACCCTTACACGTCTGAGATGCGTTCTGGCCGTGATCGCAAAGCCAAAACTAGCTGGAGGGTAATCGAATCAAGCAATAAAACGCAATAAACAAGCCTCAGTGTCCCCGTCGAAAGCCATGTAATACGGACCTAATTTCACGGAAGCATCTAACACAAATATTTTCCCTGGCGCGGATCGTTTCGGCTAATACCAAGGCCCTTTCGCCCTTATCGTTCTTCGCTCGTAGACAAGTGTTGTTTATCAGGCTGATGTCGCTTATAGCGATGGCCAGAAACCCCGAAATTCGAGGTAATCACGATTCCCTTGATCCCGCCATTCCACCCTCTTCTTCACGACTTTCGTCTTCCGCCCCTAAAATCCGCCTGTCTGCCCCAGGAACTGCTAAAGAGAAGAGGAAAAAAAAAGCGACCGATTTCTTGGCGAAAATAACGCTCGACCTGCCATACAAGATATTACATGTCGTGGATGTTAATGTCCGCCTGTATATTTCTTTCTCCTTTTGTTTCTTTTTTTTTCTGCCACCGACTCGTGTGTCCCGAAAGAGGGCAGAGAGCGCATACACAGAACTGTCGGATAGCGGAATGCTGTAAATCCGTGCATTATACATGACACCGAGATCAGCGCCATTTGTTATTCCGACGGGGCAAAACGCGGAAAAGGGGATGTGAAAAATTACCGGCCACGACCAGCACTTACCGAAACGAGTCTTTTCGAGGATGCATCCAGTGGTTGGAACACTTGCCAGGAGACTAGTTACGGAATTGAAATTATTCGCGGTCCTGCGGGACGACGTTCGAAATGTTAACCCCGTTCGCTGCGATTTGCTACGTGAAATATTTCGATGGGGATTTCATAAGCAACTTTTGTTCCTTGACGCGTGGACACCTTTTTAGTTACTTCTAAAAATATATTTTACACTTGTATTTGATCTTTTATTGAAAATTTAGAAATGTCCAAATAATTCATCAAATTTACAGATTTTCATGTTATAATTATAATTCTTCAGATTTTCATGTTATCTTAGACCCTAGTGGAAGATATTGCAAATGAACGAGAATATAATCCATTAATACTTATGGAGTCTTTTTTTTATTCCTATAACCCATTTTATAGATGGTCATTATAGATCGAGAACAATTGTCTGGAACAAATCCCTAATTAATAATGGATTAATAGAAAACCATTCGGAAAATACTCACGAATTCAGTGAAACGACCCTAACAATTTTAGACTCGAGTAACTTTCGAAAGTTACCCGCACTGTAGACTCCTACCCCAAAGTTCCGGGATTCCGACATCACTTTCCATTCATCTTGTTTTATAGTTACCCGCCATTTAAATGCGTCCGAAACGGAGTTAAAGGTGTTCGATTAACAAAGATAAATTATTAATTAAGTCAGAAATTATTTGGTTTTGTTAATAAACTTCTCGCTGCAATTTAGGAAAAAATACATCTTCGTTCCGAAACAAAATACGGTGTTAAAAAATGTAGGAGCCAGAATATCTTCAGAACGAAAAATAAATCCAGCTCGCAAAATGCTCGCAAATCTAATTTCACATCCAATTATGCGTATCACGCGTTTGAAAAGCGTTCATTCATTCAATTAATCCACTCCAATTACACGGGGTTTAATTTTCTCAACAGGTATCGCTATTACTGCGTCACTTTTATAATCATTTCATTTTTACCGTTTAAAAGGATTCATTAAAGCAAGAAATAGCTTTGAAGACCTATCAATCATAAGAGTCCCGTTTAAAAAACTGAAAATAGAAAAGCGAGAGGGAGAGAGAGGACAGCTTCATTCAATTAACTCCGGCGGATTTTCAGAACGCGTAACAAATACGCGTGTTCGAATAAAGTTTTTTATCGGGCTGTTAATTTTCGTGGCAGCAACCAGGCGCACGCGATTCGCTTTTCAAACTATTCCCCGATTATCATTATTCCTTTCTCCCCCGCCCCTCCGATGCCCGGTAGCAAGCAACATGAAAAAAAAAAGGAGAGAAAGAAAGAAAAAACAAAAAGGTTGACACACAAACTGCGGCGTAGGCTGCCGGATGCATCCTCTGCCGGCTCGGCGTCGCAAAATCTGAACGCAGAATTGAACGGCGCCAGGTGTCCGTAAATAAACCCGCCGCTGCATCGGAGTTTGTGCAACAAAACCGTTGGAACGTGAAGGGTGGTTACGCTTTCGCGGGTTGCTCGCTTTACAAAGCTTCCTTTGCGGGTCGACACTTTTATTTCGTCAAACTGTTTAGTCCGTTTAGCTTCCCGTCCTTTCGCTTCTCAAACAGGTATGTCGTTTACGTAATCGTTCGAGGATGCAACCAAGACCATTGCTCGAGCCTCCAATAGCAAGTGTGCTTTATGGCCGGCCGTTAGATCGATCGGGGAACTCGACGATTTTAGAATTCAAAGTCTCAGAGGCGGGCTATTTCGGTGGCTGGGGTTGAGACACAAATTGGGGCGTTAGAAATTGGGGTATTAGGAGTTGGGGAATTAGGAATCGGGGAATCAGGAATTGGGGAATTAGGAATTGGGGAAGTAGGAATTGGGGAATTGAGAATCGGGGAATTAGGTTCGGGGAATTAGGAATCGGGAAAATTGGGAATCGGGGAAATAGGTATCGGGGAATTAGAAATCGGGGAAATCGGGAATCGGGGAATTAGGTATCGGGGAATTAGGAATCGGGGAAATTGGGAATCGGGGAATTAGGTATCGGGGAATTAGAAATCGGGGAAATCGGGAATCGGGGAATTAGGAATCGGGAAATTGGGAATCGGGGAATTAGGTATCGGGGAATTAGGTATCGGGGAATTAGAAATCGGGAAAATCGGGAATCGGGGAATTAGGAATCGGGGAAATTGGGAATCGGGGAAATTGGGAATCGGGGAATTAAGTAATCGGGGAAATTGGGAATCGGGGAAATTGGGAATCGGGGAAATTGGGAATCGGGGAAATTGGGAATCGGGGAAATTGGGAATCGGGGAAATTGGGAATCGGGGAAATTGGGAATCGGGGAAATTGGGAATCGGGGAAATTGGGAATCGGGGAAATTGGGAATCGGGGAAATTGGGAATCGGGGAAATTGGGAATCGGGGAAATTGGAATTAGGAATCGGGGAAATTGGGAATCGGGGAAATTGGGAATCGGGAAATTAGGTATCGGGGAATTAGAAATCGGGGAAATTGGGAATCGGGGAAATTGGGAATCGGGGAAATTGGGAATCGGGGAAATTGAGAATCAGGGAAATTGGGAATCGGGGAATTAGAAATCGGAGAAATTGGGAATCGGGGAATTAGGTATCGGGGAATTGAAAATCGGGGAAATTGGAAATCGGGGAATTAAATATCCGGGAATTAGAAATCGGGGAAATTGGGAATCGGGAAATTAGGTAACGTGGAATTAGAAATAGGGGAATTAGAAATTGAGAAATTAGAAAATGTGGAATTGAGAATTTCGTAGTTAAAAATTGAGATATTAAGAGTTAATGATTCGAGACTTACCAAATTAAGAATTCAATATCTAAAGAATTTAAAGACCATAAAATCTTGAAATTCATAAATATCTAAAATTCTTGATCCCCCCATTTCCCAAGCAAGTATTACCTCCACTAGAGACTGTACATAATTACAAGGAGGTCCGAAGAGAAAGAAGAACCTGCTCGAGGGCATCCATAGTCGCATGCGATGGAGAGTAGGAAAAAAGAGAAGTTATTTTAAGTGTCCAACTTATACACGGCCATTAAAGGTTATAGGTTTCTATTCAATATTAAAGTAGCCGCTCGACCGAACGACACCGCATCCTATAGCTCAGGGGTTGAAGTTAACGGAGTATGGTTGAAACATAAGCAGGAAAACGTCTTTATCCGAACGCGCGGAGGAAAGTATTATAGGAAACAGCGAGGCTATAGAAAAGTTGAGTGGTCGGGTAACTTGAAACTTTTGCGGACTTAGGGGTTGCTCCCTGTCGTCTACGCTAACGTGTCATGGCCTTCTGGCATTGGACCAATCACATGTTGTTCGGTGCATTTTATAAACGTATACGGACTAGATAACGTGTACAATCGGCCACAAAAGTCTACGCTAAATTCTGCATTAACCCTTCTTCGTTTAACCTTCGACGACGAGATTGGAACACAACGGTAAAAGTTTAATGGGCCATAGAAGTGGTTACCAGCTTAAGATCTGCAGAAACGTGCAATTTGTTGGCTAAAATTACTACGTTGTTGCCGACGAAACGGGAGCTTGTATAACTTTTACTAGCCATTTATTCGTTATTAAATTTCGTCGAAATTACGCATTTTTTAAGCTTGTAAACTTTAGTCGATCGTGCGAGCTTATTGTTTTGCAAGGCAGACGTTTGTTCATTAGTTGTTGCAATCTTTGCTGTCAAAAGTTTCCCCGTAAACGAACTGCAGTTTCTCGAAAAGAATTACCTCTCGACAGATTGTAAATTTCAGAAATCTGTACGTGGTTTACATGTGATTGTGCAGCACGGTATGCGATGAATGCGTGAACGCGGTTTAATTATTAGCATGTGGCATGTCCTGATTAAAATTCGCGAAAGAACAATTTCCACTTTGAAATGCTATTAGTTGTAACAATCAGCCATTTCGCGTTAAGAACTTCAATGAATGCTTTGTGCGAGCATTTTCGTGAAACTTCAAACGTTTAATTAAATTCAATTCAGCGTCACTAAATAACGTTCCGGAAGCGATTGTTCGATAGGGAATAATTCATGCGGACGAAAATTGTAATGCATGTCAGAGATTCGCGTCTGACACGAGATACAGAAACGGCGTACAAACGATGGTATCTCTGTTACAGGGCAGTTCCAGTCGAGGAGGAGTTCATATGGAATGGCATCACGTGGACCCTCGACGAGGACGCTGCCAATCGCGATAGCGATGGCCGTCGCAATGTCAGTCGTGGCAAACGGTCTTTGTCCGACGCAATGTCGTTGCGACGACGAGAGCTTGCGAGCGTCCTGCGCTTACGCGGGTCTCGAAATCGTTCCGATCCAATTGAACCCAGAAATCAAACACTTGGATCTGTCCAACAATCGTGTCGGGAATATTCACCTATCGTTCGTCTTCTACGGTAACCTGGAGACACTCGATCTGACGTCGAACGCCATCCACACCCTGGGCTCGGACAATTTCGTGCTGCAGAAGAGCCTGATCACGCTGAACGTAAGCAATAACGCCGTCAAGGCATTAGCCAAGAATTCCCTGCAAGGTTTGGACTCGCTGAAGGAGCTGAATCTAGCCAGCAATAATATTTCCGACATGAACGAGGAAGCGTTCAAGAGCACCAGCGAATTGGAGATCCTGAATCTGAGCGACAACTCGATCACCAGTTTGCCGGAAGGTCTGCTGAAGAACCTGCACAAGATCCGCGCGTTGATCCTGAACAGGAACTCGCTGTTGGAAGTCCCGACCGCGAATCTGGCGCTGGCACCCAGTCTGGAGAAGGTGGATTTGTCGGACAACCTCATACAGGAGCTGGACAGGGACTCGTTGCCCTCGCTGCCGTCGCTGGTCTCGTTAGACCTGGCGAACAACGTTATCAGGAATATCGCTGACGACGCATTCGACCGTTTACCTGGACTGCTACACCTGGATCTGTCCGGTAACAACTTGACGTCCGTTCCCACGTCCGCGTTGGCCAGGCTGAACGTTCTATCGACTCTGATCCTCAGTCGAAATCCCCTTGGCAACCTGGACGCCGTAGGGTTCCGCAATCTGTTCGAGCTAAGGAGCCTCGAGTTGAACGACTGCACCATCGTTAGCGTGCATGCTCGAGCGTTCGCCGACAACGTGAATCTCGAACGCATCTCGTTGGACGGTAATCGGGGGTTAAAGGAGCTACCAGCCAGGGTACTCTACAGCGCCAGATATCTGAAATGGGTGTCGCTCCGTCGTTGCAGCCTGTCGACCTTACAACCTACGCAGTTCCCGGTGGATGCGTTGTCGTCCCTTCGCTTCGGCGGGAATCCCTTGGTTTGCAATTGCTCCGTGCATTGGCTGTGGACGCTTATCAGGACGGAAGAGCGGCGAAACGAGTCTCGACTCGAGCTGGATAGCCACGATATCGTCTGCACCGACGAGGAATTCGCCGGCAAAGCTTTGATCGCTCTATCGGAAGGTTCTTTGCGTTGTCGGCTGAGCCCTCTCTATCTCTCGCTGTCAGCCGCCGGTTGTCTAGCCGCGACCGCGACCATCCTCGTGCTGATAGTCCATGTGACGCGTACCAACAGAAAGAAACGTCTGGCGTACACCGCGCCGAACCGACCGGAATTCCTCGTCTACGTCGGGAGGGACAACGACGAGTTGGACAAGAACGCCGAATCGTACAGCAGACGACTCCTAGCCAGGAACGAGGACACCCCGTACGACACGCCTCGCGGGAAGGCTGGACAACGTAGTCCTCAATCGCAGGATACGAACATCTACGAAACGCCCAGACACACCAGAGCCAATCGACGAGACACGGAGCCGTACGCGAGGCAAACGGAAGAGGGTGTGTACGCGGTAGCCGACGTGACCGATCTACGCGACGAACCGCCGGAAGTGCTCTCGCTTTATCGCATGCAGACTCCTACTGCTCATCGGGTGGACTATGGTTACGACTACGAGTACGATTACGAGTACCAACCGCCGCTTCCGCAGAAGCCTCACGTAGTGTTCGTTTGAACTATCTAGTCGTGCTTAACGTTCTAGCAACTCCGGGAGTCTGAATCTCCGGAGGGTAACCGTGGTCGTTCGATGGACCGGTTCGATAGAGGCGACCGATTCTTTCGGAGTTTCGCGAAAACAAGGGTAAACCCTTAATAGGGTCGGATCCGTTCGAAGCGATGCGAGCTGAAGCGTGATACCGTAATCCTTCCATTACCGGAAGTAGCGTCGTCCATTGAAAGGGCTGCGGTACCAGCCAGGGTACTCTACAGCGCCAGATATCTGAAATGGGTGTCGCTCCGTCGTTGCAGCCTGTCGACCTTACAACCTACGCAGTTCCCGGTGGATGCGTTGTCGTCCCTTCGCTTCGGCGGGAATCCCTTGGTTTGCAATTGCTCCGTGCATTGGCTGTGGACGCTTATCAGGACGGAAGAGCGGCGAAACGAGTCTCGACTCGAGCTGGATAGCCACGATATCGTCTGCACCGACGAGGAATTCGCCGGCAAAGCTTTGATCGCTCTATCGGAAGGTTCTTTGCGTTGTCGGCTGAGCCCTCTCTATCTCTCGCTGTCAGCCGCCGGTTGTCTAGCCGCGACCGCGACCATCCTCGTGCTGATAGTCCATGTGACGCGTACCAACAGAAAGAAACGTCTGGCGTACACCGCGCCGAACCGACCGGAATTCCTCGTCTACGTCGGGAGGGACAACGACGAGTTGGACAAGAACGCCGAATCGTACAGCAGACGACTCCTAGCCAGGAACGAGGACACCCCGTACGACACGCCTCGCGGGAAGGCTGGACAACGTAGTCCTCAATCGCAGGATACGAACATCTACGAAACGCCCAGACACACCAGAGCCAATCGACGAGACACGGAGCCGTACGCGAGGCAAACGGAAGAGGGTGTGTACGCGGTAGCCGACGTGACCGATCTACGCGACGAACCGCCGGAAGTGCTCTCGCTTTATCGCATGCAGACTCCTACTGCTCATCGGGTGGACTATGGTTACGACTACGAGTACGATTACGAGTACCAACCGCCGCTTCCGCAGAAGCCTCACGTAGTGTTCGTTTGAACTATCTAGTCGTGCTTAACGTTCTAGCAACTCCGGGAGTCTGAATCTCCGGAGGGTAACCGTGGTCGTTCGATGGACCGGTTCGATAGAGGCGACCGATTCTTTCGGAGTTTCGCGAAAACAAGGGTAAACCCTTAATAGGGTCGGATCCGTTCGAAGCGATGCGAGCTGAAGCGTGATACCGTAATCCTTCCATTACCGGAAGTAGCGTCGTCCATTGAAAGGGCTGCGGACTTAGAGCATGCCACCGGATGAATTTTAACGTGATCACCGGTGGCGTGGATTCGTGTATTCGAATGGTGCCAGTACACGGGACTGAGTGAATCGTCCACGCGGAGAATGGCGGGAGCCAGGCTCGAATCGGTGGACAGAGTTGAAAATGAAATGTCTTCCGAGATAGTTGCGCCGCTGGAGAAGCAGAATGCATTTTCGCTGAGGGAACGCAATCTGATTCGGAATGTAAATTGTACGGCGCATAAACGTGCTGGTTGTAGTCGACCAGCCTCGGGAACGTATTTATTTTCACGGATTGCGTCGGATTCCGTTGGTTCAGTGCAAATGCTGCGCACCGTGTTCCAAGGCGGGCGTGTTCATTTCGCATTTAAACGTAGTGACAAATCAAATCAAAGCAGCGTCTCGTTAGTCCGTTTAAACCCTCCTAGACTACTAGCGTCCCAAGATTACTCTTCGTCTCTCTCCCTCTATCTTTCTCTCTTATTCTCTATCTCTATCTCCCGTTTTCTCTATCTATCTCTTTCTCCTACCGGTACCTACAGTTATCGCGTCTTTGTCCACTATTCCCCTTTTTCGTTTCTCATTCAGCGAAGTCCGCGTTTAGGTAGGCTGAAGAACCTTGACAAGAATTTTTGCGAAACAGTCGGCTACCTCAAGCAAGGATTTAAACGAGAAACGAGTTCAAAGGAAGAAAGGGCGTATCGTGTTCACGCGTTCCCACCTTTCTCTCGTGAAAACACGCCGGACACGCTCGTGCACACCTGAAGGGAGCAAAAGACACGTTAGGATTCGTAATTAGACAGGCGGTTTTTGTTTGTCTTGTCTGCTTGTCGGTGGAAGGGAACCGTCTTCGGGATCGTTGTAAATTGAAGCAATAATAGGCGCGACCTTTACTCTTAGGGACACACTACGACACCGAGTATAATTAAGGACGAGATTACACGTTTATACGAACGTAGGCGTACGTACGCGAGGTGTTTCTGTAATTCTCGGAATGTTATTAAGTTCTATTAATAATTTATATGTTTCTTTGGATCCCTTAATATTTTAAGTTCTTTGTAGCAGACAATGGCTTATATAAAACGTAGTTGCAAACTTTAAAATTCATAATTGGTTTCGATACAGTTTAATACAGTTAGGTTGATAGCTTCGATATACATTAAGACAGATCGTTTCGACAATTATTTTATTATTTCGTTAATAGAATTTGTAAGAACGATTTGATTTTTAAGAACGGCAATTTCTGAAACACCTCGTGTATATAAATAATATATATAAATATATATATTTATTTATTAATTTATGATGTTAAGTTTGAGAAGATGTTACGTTTTGAATACGAAGAAAAAAAAGAAAGAAAAAGATACAAAATATAGTTGCTGCGTGGGGAATAACATGCGTATCCATCACGAAGCATCGCAAGCTATCGAGCTTTCGAATTCGCGTAGTGAAAATCCATCGTCTGCGAGTGTCACGCGTCACCGAAACGAGGGAATCATTACACGAACTCGCCGGCTACGAGAGCTCGGAAAACTCGCCTGTGTGTAAGTTTCGCCGTCGTGGAGCGCCTCCTCGAAACGCAACGCGTCTAGAAATTTTAATGGAATATCGAATTCCCGCTGATTAAAGTCCCCCGACGCGGTGGCTCCTCCCGGGGGGGAAAGTTCGAAAGTTAAATATTCGATTCGACACGGTAAACCTACGACCGCGATTTGACGATCGAGAATCGCCGGACGGATATGCCGAATAATAATTTCATCGGCTCTCGCCGAAATATTACCCCTCACCTGCTGAAATAGGGTTTACATTACGCGCACCCTCCTTGCGAAGATTGATATTCGAGCCGGTTCGATCTCGAGGATACTTTCCCCCGAGTCAGGTGCAAAAGGATTATTGTTCGTCATACTTTTTCGAGTTAAAGTTTGCTTTCATTACTAATTTGCTAATTTCCTTCCATTCGGGTAAACAGTGTTATTAACCCCTTGCGTTATAACTTGTCAGGTGCGTCAACTGAATTACAGCTACAATATTAAAACAATCAAAAAGTTTGAACTGTTATGTCAATATATTATTATGCAATCGGCAAGTATAATTATACTTGAACTCCAAATTGAAACGTATTAAAAATTCAAGTAAAATTCGTAAAGATCGTAAGATCGAAGTAAAATTCGATCGTGGCCAAAGTACGAGTGCGTCACGAGTCAGACTCGTCAAAATAGCGCAAAGGGTTAATTTGTTCATTTCTTATTATCGATTTGTTCATTTCTTTCCTTGAATTACCACGGTTGAATTATATTTTCATATTCTTCGTCAAACTCGAGTTTACACGAAAAGTGTCTTTAAGATCGATAGAACACGTTCCGCTAAATTTAAGAACTCGGATTAAAATCGTGTAACCATTGAAATAGTTATTTTTGAGATTTGACGTAGTAGACTTCAAGTCTTGAAATCGAATTTCCGAATCGGGATGTAACAGAATCTGGGTCTCCGGTTCAATAAATTTGAACGATTCCCCTGACGCTCGATCGAATCGTTCCAGTAACCGCCGTAGCATAAAGAATTAAAATGACGGGTGAAACACTCGTACCACCTGTAAGAACGTGATTTTGTGGAAATCGGTCAGGGTGAGTTCGATGTTCGAGTATTTCTTCCCGAACGTTGTCCCTCGACGTGTCTGCCAGGGACCTGACAGTCGTGAAAAATTAATTTTCCCCGAAGCAGCCGATCCGGAGACGAATCGAGGGTGAAAACACCTTCCCGCTGGTTTTTCGCGATGATCCCACTGACCCAGATGCTCCGGCAATTCTTCTGGACCTCGTCCGACAAACTTTTCCAACTTTCGATAACCCTTAAACTCGCGATCTCTTGTCACGAACGGATTGGAAACTTATTTGCAACGATAGATTTTACTGGCAATCTGGTTACACGGCGATTTCTTTACGACGTCGATAAAACAAACTTCGAGACGTTCATCTTAGGTGAAATGTGATTTATCTGTAATAGCGTTTTTTAAAGATCTTCACTAAGTATACGAGCAAATTGCAGATTTACAGTGACATTTCTTTACGTCTTTCGTGTTTCTGGTATTTTGTGTCTAATATTAAGACACAAGTAATATTTTATTTAGATTAAAGAATACAAATCTTTCCATAATTTTCAGATTTTATAATACGAAAGATCAGAGTTGAATGGCTAGGAATTATTTCAAATAATCTGACTCGAAATTATTTGAGAAGTAAGTAAAAAATTGGAACACGAACTCCATGGAGTAAATCAAATATTTTGTCACTTCATCCAAATTTTGTACCCACCACCTTAAATATTAATTCAAAGGCTAATATTAACCCTTCCAACTTACCCCGTAAAAAGTAAACAATAAAGTAAAAAGTAGACCTCGATACAACAAAGATTGAAAGGGTAATTTTGGAGAATAAAAAATGAAAATAAACGAGGGAAGAAAAATTAGAATAGGACCACCCCACTGACAGAGGAAAATATTAGAGTTGGAAACGTTTCATTGGTCCCACCTTCCCGGTCGGTTAGCCAAGATTCCACGGTGGCATTTCGCCCGACTCGTTAGTCATGGTAGTTAGTCATGCTACATGGATCTCGGTCTGAAGAACGAAGAAGAGGAAGATGAAAAAGAGGGAGGCTGCGTGGAGTGGCGGAAAAGGCTGGATCGCGCGAGAAACAGGCGCACCAGCTTCTCCCTGTCCCAGTCCGTTTCCTCTTCCCTTCTTCGCGGAGTATCCCTCTTTTTCCGGTTTAGCGTCCAGGGGGATCTCGATGCGCTCGAGAGGCACGCCCCATCGACGGCTATTTTTGTATGTACATAGCAGAAAAATAGAAAAAAAAATGATGAAAAAAAAACGAAGAAGAAGAAACGCGCGCAATGTTGAATGCACATCACGTTCCTCGCGCGCCTAAACGTCCGTCTTTAGTGTCCGTTGTGTTTTGGTGTTTGTCATCCCTGTCTCTCTGTCTACGATAATATCTCCGCCGGTTTCATAACAACGATACGAGAATACATGACGATCGTAAATCGAGTACCACCGTTTTCTGACATTGGGGTAACGAGACTGATCTTCTTTGGAATTTAACAGTTTTCGTTATACTTCTTTGGGGATGATTCACTATTTATGTTGTAACTGCAACAAATTTTATTCTGCCTTCTTTCTTCGTGTCTCTTGGGCGACTTTTAATATTAATATGTACAAATTTCTTGTAGCTATTTTTCTTTTAGTTATTTGATCAAATAGGAATTAACTCCTGGTTGACAGTCAGATAACAACCACAATTTGATATAGACACAGACATGACTTTGAGTGATTTTAAGAAACATCAAAGAACTTATTGAAGTTTGTTCACAAAATATTAAAGTGAAACGAGCATCGTAAAACGTGCCTTGATACGTTGACGCAATAAAAAAGGACATACGTATTGAGACATATTAAAATTGTAATTCGAATAACTATTTATATTAATCAAAAAACTACCCAATTAAAAATTACGTAAAAATTAGATGTGAATTTTTAATTGAAGTTTAAAGTTCATGTCCTTTTCTCCACCAATTATGTAGTCATTAAAAGAATGTCCTCTTGCTACAAATTTTGTATTTCATTTATTAAAATTTATAAATAATTATGAATAAGTGAAATGCAATATTGCAGTCAATTTTATAATTGGTTCTTTTTTAATGTTCGTCATTTTAAGACATTTTTTTTGGTATCAACTTGCTGAGTTAATTTGTGAAATCGATTAGTAAGAGAAGGACAGCAAAGCAGATGACAGATTAGAAAATATTCAATCTCGTTACTCCGGTGACAAAGTATGTAGACACGCGTAGCGTTTAATACGTCGACGATAGCGAACGAGTCGCTCGATCGTTCGAGTGGCAAGCTCGAGTTCTGCTCGAGTTCCCGTCGATGCTAATGTCTCTAATAAAGAGTACCGGTGGCACGGTGATACCTCGTGCTCGAGAAAAGTTTCTTGGATCCCGGCTGGCAATTCGTCGTAATAGTCTCGAATTTATTTGAAAGCAATCGAAAATAGATTTCCATCGTACCGTTCGGTTCTTTTTATGATCCTCGAGCGGGGAAAAAAGGGAACTGGAGTTTATAAAAGTTCCGTAGTATTGTAGTTTCACGTTGATAAGTCACCTTTGGAAATGTCTGCAATTCAGATTTGCAATGCAGACGAAATGCTCGGGAATTTTAAACAGAACCGATGGAGAAGTCGAATGCACGGCCAAGTTTCGTTATGAAATCGAAACAATGTAACGTTACACGAGAACTTTTTACTCCTTCGATCGTCTTCATTTCTTCGAGTATCCTCGTTATTTCTTCGGGATTTTTCTAACTTTGCGTTTCATTGCTAAACTTTCAAATTTGGGAAACATTCTTCGTAAACGAAAATTACACGAGCTTCGACTAATTATAATTATAATTACTTTCGTTACGGCGAACAGTGAATATTATTACGACGATAATGCACCGTAACACGATTATAATAATCTATAGTTCGTCGAGTTAAATTCGTTCGATATTCCAGCATTCCTTTCTCGATCACGAGGACACCTGTGCTAACTCAACCACGTGCTCGTGTATCCGACCTTTAACGAACCTAGTACTCCGTAGATTAATTAAGGCTAGAATTAAGACATCGCGAATATATCTTGTTTTTCACTATTACCAGTATACAATAATTCATAAACAGCTATGTGCGCCTTAATTTAGCTTACGTATTTTGCGTGCGTTTATGAAACCGGCTTACAAACGCGTCCACTGTGTTTATGTTCGTACCTTCTCTTCGCCCTTGTTTCCTGTATATCCTGATTGTACAGCGATTGAGAATCAAAAGAATGACCAAATGTTTCGTCGTGAACACCTCCATTGTCAATTTTTCCTGTAAATAGTTTCGTGTGTTGTTTATGTACAGTCGCTCTTGCTTCGCCTCTTTCTTGTTATTTCTTGTACTTTTATTTCCACATAGTATAGTTAACGTTTGATGAAATTCCGTGAAAATCGCGGGAGCATGGAATTGGCAATGTTCGAGAAGAATTTCTCTTTCAACGCGACAAATAGCGTATCTTTTTTTTGTAATATCTTCCTTTCTTAGAACGGAAAGGTCTCGCGCGCGCCAAGATTGGACGCGTGTCATTTGTACGATATTTGATATAATATAAAGATATATTGCACTCGTGCAATTGCATTCGTATTTTCTACAATGTATCGCGATCGTGTTTAGATCTTTTCGATTTTCAAACGTACGACCAAAAGGGTTCGAGGAAAATTTTGCCACGACGGGCCCTTGTATTGTACCCTCGTTTCGTGCTCCGCTCGAACTTTCGCCGAAATTTCGGCGCGGACGCACGAATTTATACTTAACGATTATATATAAATAAACAAATAAAAAGTATACGTACTACTATCGCCATAGTAGTATGTACACGCATGCATACTCACGGGTACACATGTATGTACGATTTACTTACATACACACGAAATATTTTAAGTAATCGTATAGAAATTTCATACATTGCTAATAAAAATGTTTAAGATATCTAATAAAGTTATATTGTATATTCAGTAACACATGTACTGTTTGTCCGTAGATGAAACACGTTCGTTGGGGTGCCTAATGCGACACGTAGTAATTTAACTCGTGGTAATGATCCACATAACGATCTAACACATAGCAATCTAATTCGTTGGTAATATAACGCGTGACGATCTAACGCTAGCCTTGCTTAAACAAACAATTGCGCCAATGAACGTGTTAAACGTCCTTTATTTTTTCCCGCTTCGCTGTGTACGTTTGTGGACTATGTTTAGCGTCCTGATTTACGTGTCCTATGTCCTGCGTGTAAAATAATGTTATCCGCTTCCTTTCCAACGTAACATTCTTCTGTTCTACTAAAAATAGCGTTCTCTGATTTTGTACAAAGGATCTTCTAGAGTTTACGAGTAGTCGAAGAAGAAAAACGAAAGGACATCAGGTTATGCACCACTGAATAAACAAGGGTAGTCAATAGGTTTTTATGCGAGGTACAAATAGATTTACTTTAGGGATGAAATCCTGTTTAAAAATACCACGTGAAAAGGGGCATAAATTCCGCCACCCTCGTCCCTGATTGATATGCACAGGAAGTCCCTAAAGCGTAAGTTTGGTTTTTTCCCTCGTTTAAGTGCTATGCCGGATGATGGTCTTTAGTAAGGCGGCCATAAAAACGTCTGAAATATATCGTCCAAGGTGGAGATCTTTTAAATTTGGATCTTGACTTCACACAAAAAGAAGTGAGATAGAGAAGAGTATTCCGTAAATATTTTTATTTGTGCGATATGTATTATGAACGGACAATTGTCTGTTTATACATTTGACGCATATGGAATGAATTATTATTCAGTATTGTTACTGATAATGCAACGAGAGAATTTGTTATTTTCGACATTTATTGTGTTATTGTTTCATATACCAAAATGTTTGCTTGTTAAACGTTATAACGGTATTGTACATATTTAACACGATATTGGTTTAATTATTGTTAGATTATACGTTGTTTCCAATTACGTTAAAATAAAATGAAGTGCTGATTCAGCAATTTTCATTCAAAAGTTGACAGTCCTAGCTCTCCTATTAAATGATTATGCGAGAGCGAAACATCACAGATAGAGTTCAAAGTCCACTCTGGTAGCGTTGTAAAATTGGCTGGTCTGGCCTGTTCTTCGAACCCAAGCTCCGTTTTTAAAGTATCCTTCTTTCGCCCACGCGTACATTTGTTCGGTCGAATGTGGACCGTAAATTTCCGCGCTTTCATTTTGCGACCATTTGAATTCCCACGTTACTTCGTTCACTTTGTCCTCATCTTTCGCAGAATTTTCGGTTTCGTTAACATTACCTATGGAACAATGCAAGAATAAAACAATACATACGTAATTATATATAAACAATATATGACAACATGAAAATAATAATTACTTTCACTTTCATCCAATTTTGCTTTTTCTTTGACATCAAAATCATCTGCGTACATATCTAACTCTGCTTCTTGCTTTGAAGGATGAGCATGTTTTTCACCCATTTCAATCTATAAAAAATGTCTGGTTTAGTTACCTCATAAATAAGTTTCCCACCAGTTCATCTTTTCATCATAAAAATTATGATCCTACATAAGTAATCAAAGACATATGTGATGCTGTCATTTTTTTTTCAGATATATTACCTTTTTCCTAATTTGTTCATAACTTTCTTGGTATATATCCATATTTCCAGTACGAGTTAGCAACTCATTTGCTAATTCTGTTAATTTTGTTATATCAATAGAATTTTGATCATCTTCAATAGGTTTCTTTTCTTGTTTTCGTTTCCACCTTTCCGCTGTAGTTAACCTTTTTTTCCCTTTACCTGTAAAATACTGTTTAATAGATGTCCTTTCAAATTGAATTTTCTTGAAATACTTACCAAGCCTACATAAAGCTTTAGAAACTGTTTCTCCTGGTTTTAAATACTCCAATATCTGTTTGTAAATCTGAAGTGGATTAAACATAATATCTGGACCATCATCGTCACTATCACTATCCGCCAGTCCATGCTTTTCATTGCCTTCACTTGCCTTCTTTACACTTGCTGTAGCACTGGGTTTGATCTATCAAGAGTACGCCTTAATAATGTTTTGCATCACTGAGTAAATAAGGCAGGCTTACAGATAATTCTATTTGTTTGCTGTATGAAAACATATTCTGATATTTCAATATGCAAAAGTTCTTAAGCAAAGAATATACATTAAAGCTCCATTTATCTAAACCAGTTGGGGGACACAAAAGTTTGCATAATAAGATATGTGAATGATATGAATCCACTAACTCCCCTCCTATTACTGTTCACTAATTCATATAATTGCAGCTGCTGTTCATATAACTGGAATTAATTACATCTGTAGAATTTATTCACAAACAAATGTTTAACAACATTCATTATATAAACATATGATTATATAACTAGATTCAACACTTCACCGTGTTCAAATAATGAAAATTCATAAGTTTCTATAATTAGAACTGAGCATTAATTTGTTCAGATAAATGGAGTGCACAAAAACAAAGGTTTATTGTAAACATAAACATCCATCTATCAATTTTAATTATTCAAGAACAAGAATTGACATTCTACTTTGAACTTAATAGGATATTAATTTTACTTATAAACATTACAGAGAAAAAATCATCTCATTGTTTAATTTTACAAACCTGCATCCAATCAATATTATCTAACCAATTATCTCTAATTTCTTTCTCTTTGTTCCAAAGATAATGACCCTCTTTATCAAAATGTCCTTCTTCTAATTCTTCTTTCATATTAAATGCTGTAAAGCCCACAGATGCTTCTGGAGCAGTTGGCCCATCCTCAACACCTGTACATTAACATTATGAACACTTGACAACAAGCTAAACATTTTATTTATTTTTACATACCTTCAAATTCATTATCACTCATTACATTATAATTATCTTCATTGGCATCATCATCTTCTTCGTCTGAATCTAAAGAATTTTTTATTACTGGTTTATTGTTACTGCTGTCTTCCAGCTCATCAAATTTGCGTTTAAACATTGTTTTATATTTTAAAATATCAACACGATGAAAATATCCTTTTTATTGGAACCTATCGAGGTTTACTTTCACGCGTAACCAAAACAACACAAGTGTATCGATTAAAATATAATTTTTTACGAATCAGTGCACTATTTATCGTACAGTTGCAAACTTAATAATTGCAAGTTACATATTGCAAGGTAAAAAGATTTTTAAAGAAACACATTCGAACTGATTTTGTTATGTACAAAACGTTTTTTCGCGTTTCGAATTAGGTTAGAACTGAAGCACAGTAGCAGGTGACATTGCTGTCCACAAGCGTCGCCTGGTAGAATGGAGTGGAATTAAATTATTCTGACGTTATACGTACGTAAAAATTGTACAACTTAGGGCAATGTAGGTTTCTTTTAGTTGTGCACAAGTAGTGGGGAGAAGCATCTTATTTGTTTTCGGCTTATAGGCATCGAATATATAAACTTGAAATTTTCAAATCACCAGATTCTCAAATATTAAAAATATTCAAATTGATAATCTTCTAAGATTCTCAAATTTGAAAATGTATCACGAAATAATGAGACCTTCTCTCTTTACAACCCAAGGAAAATGTACCATGTTCGCCAATGCACATACAATGTGTGTTATACTACACTATAGTCAAAGATGCAACTTGACATCAGCTGATTTTGTATACATATGTCTGCCATACGTCATGATGCTGCTGTCTAACTTGCAGCATGTATCGATTATTAAAGAATACAACGTATCGGTAAGATTTATAAATGAAAAAAAGTATAAATATAATTCTATTTTAATACATGGAATAATAAAAATATATTTTAAGCTCTATAGTTATCTTCATTGCAGTTATATGTATATAATGTTAATGATGCTCGTGATAAATTCATTTAGCTGTGTATGTTATAAAATATAATGAAACAAAATGTATGAAAAAACATAATTGTATATGTACTATTCACTTTGTTATGTGTTGTTAAAAAAAATAGTAAGTACATATATGTGTAGTATTGTGTAAACTATTTCAATTAATGAATTAAATCATTGAATACAATGTTGAACAAGTTAAAGTTTTGTATATATACATGATTTATGTATTCAGACTTAAGAGTATAAGTACTTAATGTTTACTATTATAATATAACTATTGTTTATTAATATTTGTTTTTTAAATATGTCTATTGCAACAACGTTGCTAGTACACAAAACAGTTACTATAAAGTACAATATAAAATAATGTTGCTGTATAACAGGTTATTAATACAAATCTTTCAAGCAGGCCAAGTTATTTTGAGTATACATTGAAGGTTGATTGCCAACCTCAGAAATTCAGAATCTACTTGTTCGATTTTATATATGAAAACAATTTTGATTAAACTTGTTTAAAAATGGACTCAGATTCTGCAGAAATGGTGAACGAAATCAAAAACAAGATAATATTACATTGGAACTGTCGAGGTCTGGTGGAATTCCCTGAAGCTATAAGGACCTATGGAAGTCATATTCAGGAGATATATTTAAAATGGAATAAACTTTCTGTGTTACCTCCATGGATTATGGAACTCTTCAATGTTACTAATTTATATTTGTATGGAAATATGATCAAAGAAATTCCTTCAGAACTTTGTCGAATGAGTCAGTTGACAGTGCTTGATTTAAGCGCTAATGAATTAAATAGGATACCTTCTTGTATAGCAAGTTTAGTTAATTTGAAATCTCTGTTATTAAATGAAAATTTTATAGATAAGTTACCAGCTGGTAAGTCAAAAAGTGTTATGTTCACTATTGCATTCAATGTGATTCTCTATATTATTTTTATAGAAATGAATGAAATGCATAATTTGGAAATTTTATCTATTGCTGGAAACAAATTTGTTGTATTACCAGAGTGGATAGGTTCCATGCCCAAATTAAAAGAGTTAATTGCAGATAATAATTATTTGAGAGAACTACCTAATAGACTTACTTTATCACCACAGTTATCAGTAATTTCTGTATGTTCCAACAGGTTATTATATTAAATGTACAAAAATTTATGAATATAGTAAATACTACTAATTGCTACTATTTAATGAAAAATAATTTTTGTATAGGCTTCGGTATTTACCATTAAATGGCTTTTTATCATCACCGTGTATTAGGTTTGATGCAAATGTGTATTTAAATTATTTGTCTTATCCACTTCTCTATCAATTAACTTCTCAAGCTCAAGACTCATTCATGTATGAACAAAGAAATATTTTAGGATATGGGTAAGTTTATATTTAAATATACGACATAAGCTAAAATTAAATAACAATTTAATTCAGGATAAATATTAAAATATATTTAAATACTTTAAGATAAGTACCTTTACAATATAGTCTCATGATTTATTTAATCTTTAATAACAAGAAATTTATGTATTTATAAGTACATACATATATACAATCACAGATGCTTTAAAACACATTGTGAAAACAATGTATTACGTAGAAATATAAAATTGAACATAAAAATAAATGCAATAAATGGGAAGGATTCTGATTTTATAATTGAATTACCACGTCAACTCTTAAAAGTTTACAAAACTTATGAAAACACAGTTATTTCCTTGTGGGAATTGGCCTTGAGAAAAGTTTATACTGGAAGGTAGTTACCACTTTCTTACAATTTAAAGTCTATTTAATAAATGTATTCTTAGACACTTTGATATTACGAATCTGTGATACTTAATTTTAGGTATAAACATACACTTAACATTTCTACATCACCTATAAATGTAAATATTCAATATGAACCGATTGATATAAATAATTGTTATCAACCTGATTTTACAATGTATTCTATAAATTATGGTTTTCACAATTTATTAATGAATGGACCAACTAGTATTTGCGTTAATACTCTATGTCAACAGCCAATCTTTACAGAAGCTTGGATTATTGTTGGCATAAGCTATTGTACAGAGTCTATAACAACCGTTGCATTGTGTTGCTGTAAAAGGTAAGATAAATATTGTCTATATATTAATAAATAATATCAAAAATTTATTTTAATTTTACAGATGTGCATCTGAATTTTCTAAACATTCCAATATGATGATCAGTCATAACTGGCATTGTATAAATTAATAGTACCTTGTTCAGTAAATAATTGTGTAAATAGGAATATAAAAATAAAAGAGTTTAATTTTTGCGAATTATATTAAATTTTATGTTTCACAACATCTTGAACGTATCTTAGCAGCTATTAATATAAAACGATTTTGAAAAATAGTCATTTTACTGAAACATCTATTCTAAAAATAATATATTTATCTAATTTTAAAGCATTTTACATTAAGTAAAAAAATTCATTCAAATTATGTTTTCCATTATTTTTAATATAATTTTGCACTTAAGCTATGAGGAAATCTAAAGCTCTATCACGATCGATATTACATTTTAAGAGTGCAGCAGATGCCTCTTCTTCAGAGAAACCTAAGTCTCTTAGAGTACATAAATTTTCATAATAAACTTTGGCTTTTTCTTGGTTGTATTCCGTAAGAGTAAGAGCCTTTTCAGCATCCTCTCCAGAAATTCCCATTTCTTCTAAGGACTGTACAGCCAACAAGTATTCTACAACCTTTTTGTTATCCTTACCACCTAAATCGCGTATAGCACGAGCAGCTCTTGATAACGGAAATCCCATATCACTTAAATGTCGAGCTAATTTTTTATCTTCCTCTGATAAATCCAGCAGTAAATTTACAAAAACTTGATTTTTTATTACTGGCTCTTTATGCTTTAATGTGTCTTGGGAACTAGTATCAGGCCTTTCTAGATTTGACCACGGTTTCCAATCCTGTCATGTGTATAATGAATTTTAAACTCAAGTTCACCTATAAAGATAAAGTCTTTGTTCTAAAGAATATTTGATATTATTACCTCTACAACTAGTCTTTCTAAATCTTTTTGAAGTTCTTGCACAACTGCAGATACACTACGATGTTTAGCATTTTCTTGCTCATTTACTTCTTCTTGACCATTTGTTTCACTTTTATTATTATCATTTTTTTCTTCTATATTAGCTTCTGACTTATCATCAATAGTTAATTCATTCAATATACTTTCTAATTTTGCTGGTGGTACCCATTGAGATCTAGGTTGTAATACCTAAAAATAAATTCAGTAAACACAATTAAAATTCCCACCTAGTATTTAGTTATTGTAGATGTAAGATATACTATCAAACCTGAGCAAGTTCTTCCATATCATTAATTGTTTTTAATTCCATATTGTCAAACGGACTGCTTGTGTCATTATCAAAATCAGCAAAATCAAGACCATTTGTTTTTACATGATCTTGGAAATCATTAGCTGGTGGAGATAAAGGCTGTGGTGTAAGAATTGTAGCTTTAGGCACAGGTGCATTTACAGGTAACTGATTTATAGTATCAGGCAATGGTGGTGGTGGTGGAGGTGAAGATTCTTTCTTTTCTTTCTTTCTCTTCTCATCTAACCTTGCATTCTTTGCTTTGTTATTTGCCTGTCTAATGTTACGCCATTCTGTCATCTATAAATTGGTTTAATTTAAACATAAAATATAAATTTGTGTTCCAATAAGTTTCTAATATATAAATAAGAAGTATTATAATGGTAACTATGTTCTTACAGAACACAATTGTTTGTAAAATGCATTCATGTATTATCAATTGATATAAAATTATAACAAACCTTTTCAAGTACAGATCGTTCCAAACTAAAATCATAAGTTAATTTTGATACATCTGGTAACTTGTTATTATATGCAGCTGGTAAACATACTTTTCTTGGAGGTTTGTAAGCTTCAGCAATTTTAACATGAACTCCATCCATGTAAGTGGCAACTAAATCACATTGTGCAGATACCGAAGAACGTGTCATATTTTAGCATTAGGAAATTAATAATTGAAAAAGATATTATTTTCCGAAATTCCAAATCACTGTATATATGTTTATATATATACAAATATTATATTCATAACCTTATGTCATTTTACGGTTTTTAGTTTTACGTAGTTGGATTACTTTTCACATTTCATACACATATGTACAAATATGTAACATGAATCAACATTTTCTATGGAAATACTTTAATTAAATACATGGATTTACGTTTGACAGCTCACACTGATTTGAACTCTTGATGCTCCGCGGAGCCATATTGAATTTATTAAACACAATCGATACAGCAAGTTCCTAATTAACAACTATTGATAAGTAAATCGTAAATAAAATTCATTTAAATTCATACAAAATAATTATGTAAACTGTAAAGGTTTTAATAAGAAACAATAACGTTTAATAATAATATACTTTTATTAACAATAAATATTAGTTATTGTCAACAATAAAATCACAATAAATATGGCTTACAAACTTAGCAACAAAAATATATTGTACATACTTTCATGGTTATGTAGCCATAAATTTCACATCCTATTCACTATAATACAGACATATAATTCACACATATCTCTATATTTCAATTTTTTAATTTATTTTGAACTATGTCACAGAGAATGTGATTCTCCTTGCTGTGCAGTGTAGTCAATTTTGTACATATATATATAAATTAAATTAGCTAATAAAATTTCGATTATAAATCTTCATCGTATAACAGTTACTCTTTTACTTTCACTTTGTGTTTCATTAACAGACTTAGTCTTAACATTACCAAGCATTTGAACACGATTATTAGTTTCTGTATCTTGGTCTTTTTTCTTAGCTTCCAGTGCTTTCATATATGCAAGGAAAGATGTCCAAACTAAACTGCAAAAACTTACATAAACTACACGATTATGTTCTGGGATGAAAAAAAAGTTAATTGTTTGTAAAACAGGCCACACACAAACACCAACCTAAAAATAAGTTCTGATTTAAATAATTTGGTCATTTATATTTGCAACAATATTTTGCATTTATTAAATAACTACCTTATAAGTGGGCCAAAATTTTCGTTTCACTTCTTCAACACATTCTGATACTGGTTTCAATTCAAGAAGGTTTATGCCAAAGAAGAAACAGCACATTGCTGCAGGACTATACGTAACTTGTTCCACCAAAGCCTGTAACATAAAATATTAAATGTTAATATTATATCTTAGGTAGATACTATGATTACTTCAAATTCTGATATACTTTGGTAATTGCAGATTTCAAATCTGACTTCGGCCAAAAATATGAAGAACATCTTAACCAACAGTATAGCGTTGGTGCCACAAAAAAGCCACCATACAAACTAAATCTCAATGCTTGCATATAATTTAATTCGTCGTTTCCTATAATTTTTTGTTGTATTAATGATCCTGTAGGCCATATAATAGTGTAAGAAGCCATTCCTCTTACAATGGGATACTTTTGCGTTACCTCGCGAAATTTTCCAAAAAAAACACGCATTTTTGCTCTTATCACTGAAATACAAATAAATGCATTATTAATACACAATATTTATTACAAATTATAAATCATAACTATGCATTTGTAGATCTAATAATGAAAGCATAAATGAATTAAACAAACTTTAATATGGATTGAAACATCGAGATTTGTGTTATTAAATAATGTATCGTTCATATTTACTACATCATTGGATAATTTATATTTGTATTACTTTATGTGGAAACATTTTGTAAGCTTCATGTTTTCTTTCCTCGCAGCACGTGACAAATGGTTTCAGAACGAACGATGTTGCGCGCCAAACAAGAGACAGAGAGCGCGCAATCGATGTTTCAGAAATAGAGAAGTCGTTTTTTCTATATGTATAGAGACATGAAATATGTATATTCGAACCTGTGTCAATTGTAATTGTCATTGATTTGATTCTTTAAGTCATTGCGTGAATTTAAATGACACTGATAAATTACGAAAAATGACAGTTATCGAGGCAGGATAATATGACACTTTCAAAAAGAAAAAAGTAATGAATCTTTATTTTTCATTTCGCGTTTCTGTTTGCACATCATACCTTTTTTTGGTAAAGAGACGAATTGTCGATCGTGTTACCGCGGTTTGTTCGAATGTGACGCGAGGAAACTCGCTGTACCGCGGATTTGTAAGAAACAATGGTCAAGTAAGGTTGACACATCTGGAAATGATTCACTACTACGGAAACACGCGTATACTGGCAATGGCTGAAGCGAAACTTATATGCGACACGCGCAAAAGTTCTAACGGTGACGAAACTACTCGATCCATTCTTATCTGTCCTTGGTAATTTCGTGTATTTCTAAAGTAGTTTTTTGAGTTTGATATATCATATAAGTAACTAGACTAGACATTGTCTGGTTAAGTGAGGTTAAGTACACCCGAGTGAATGTAGCCTTTCTTTGAATAAGAAGTAGTTCAGGGGAGGTGCCTCCCACCACTTGCCTTCAACTTTGGATAATCTAATGTGGAAACTTGAAATTTTCGAATTTTTAAATTTTTAAACTTTTAAATTCTCAAATTTTTAAATTTATAAAAGTGTAAATTTCAAAAGTTTTATAATTTTTATATTCGAAAATTTACCAACCAAAAATAACGAGTGGTGGGGTCCTTTTCTCCTACATCGCCATTTTTCGCAAGGAAGCCTTCCGCATTACTGTAAAAAATAATCGTATTGACATCAGCCCTGGATAGCACATAATAGTATTAAATCGACCATGTTTAATATCAGTGAATCTGAAATAGTGTAAGTGAATATTTAATTAGCTTAGATTAAAGAGGATATGAAAAGGTTTGAAATAAAACATTCATTATCTTTTTTAAGAGTTGCGCAGTGCAGTACTTTGAATTAAAATTACTTATAAAGTATATTTTCTTGATATTTTTGACTTTGTTTATTTAATTTCATTGTATTTAAATAATATTCACAAACTTAATTGATGTTTTTCACTGTGGTAACAAACATATAACATGTAACACATAACAGAAAATATGTTATCAAAATTATCAAATCCATCTTCTATAAATTTTTGTGATATTATATAAATTGTAAAAGATCAAGTGCACTCAATTATACAGATATACATTTTTATACTGTTTCAAACAATTTTTGTCTAAACCCATTTATAAAAGATTACATAGTTTAATTAAACGGTGCTAATGAATTAATGCTAATTTGTTTATAATACATAATTCATAAAAATATTTGCTTATTTTGTACGTATACAAAGATAATGTTTGCAAGCAAATTTATAGAAATAAATTGTATACTACAGATTATAAACTTTTGTTAAAATTTAGAGTCAACAAAATTTACTGTTATAAACATTTTTTCTACAATTCTGTGTTATTTTTCTATTTCTAATAATAAAAAAATACTGTCTGTATTCAATGATTATTATCCACATCCATTCTTTAAAATTATATACACAGAACAACCTTTAGAAATTGTCAATAGTTTTGCAATTTTGCATAGGATTGGCACAGTCTGAATTATAACCACCCAATTTTTTAAACTATACAACTTATCACTCATTTTGCTGCAATATCGAACAAATCACATATTCCTTCATTTTCACTAAGGTTAAAGTGATAATCTTTATCACTGGGTGGTGGACTTAATCTTACTAATGGACCATAAACTGTAAAGAAAATTTATACATTTTATAATAAGCAAAGTTGAATGAGATACCATAAATTTTACTATTAGCAATATTTTTACTTACTATCTGAATAAAATTGGTCAAGTAATTCAAAGTCTTTTTGAGCAATATCTAAAATTGTAAAATATAAGTTCAATGAAACATTATATTTACCATATTAATATTCTAAAAATCTGAACATACCTGATGTGCTGACGTCACGAAGTACTATTTTTGCTTCTATTAACTCAGCATCGTCTTCCTCATCCTCATCAGATAAAACAGGGTCAGGTTTACTAGCTCCCTTTGGAGGCCTACAATTTAACGAATATTTCATGAACTATTATTATTAAGCTCTGATAAATTTGTACAATTTACTAAAGTAAGTTAAAGATACAACTGTACTGTGTGATCTATACCAAAAAAATAGATTTTCCCTCAATATCTACTTTTCCCCTATTTAGATCAATTACTTTATGCTCTGTGCAGATCAAAAATATAATTTTACTATTTTTGATGCGAATAGAGCAAATTACTTCCCATTTTTTAAAATTGATATGTACCTTCCAACTCTCCTCTTTGGTTTAATATTACTTTCTTCCTTCTTCTCTTCTTCTTCTTTCACTCTTTTTATACCCTTTGTTTCTTCTTGTAACCTCATCTCTAGTATTTTATTATCGTACGTTTTAGCTAATTCTGGTTGGATCATGTACACTTTAATTTCCCCTGAACTACTCTTCAAAAACATTTCATAATTTATTTCTTTGTCTTCATCTTCAGAGGGCTAATGGTAAAAACAAATAATAAAACTGTATATTTAAAATATGACACAGTTTCCTAAAAAGGATATAATACCTGCATTACGTGTGGTACACTTAATTCTGTGTCAGGAGGAGCTTGAATTCCTAATACAAAGTCATCAGGAAAATTTTCCTTGACATCTTCATATGTAATATATGCATATTTTCTATTAATTAAATCATTTTCTATATTTTTTATACTCTGTTGAATCCATTGAGTATGCATATCTAATAATTGTTCATGATCCTCTAACTTTCTGATTTCATCTTTTAAGTCAGTTAATTTTTCGCCAACTTCTTGAGTGTTGCAACCTGGACCTGCTCCTCTAATGATCCAATTAAAATATATTATATAAAAAATATAAAGATGAATATTTAAATTACTACATTATTATGAGTAGAAGATAAACATACTTCCATTGGATACTATTTTTACTTTTCTTTTCTATGAGCCCAATACCTTCAAGAACATTGGTAATGTCATAAATACGTCTTTTTTGTCGTACTTCTAAAATATCAGCAGCCTAAAATATAAAAAGGTTACAATCAATACATTATCAAATACAATTAAGTTATCGTTCTATTCTTTTAGGTTATGTAGGATCACAAGTTCAAATACTGAAAATTATAACATACCAGTTATACAACGTTAAATCAAGATAATTAGTAAGATAGCAATAGTTTTTTTTTAAAATGTATTGATTGGAAATTTGGAATATTGATTTCGGTCATACTTATTTTAAAATTCCCGCAAGCAAGAAATGGCGTGTACGCCCGCGATAACTTAACCTAGCAGGTAGGTTAACTTTTTATATCTGATCGTTTATGAAAGCACTTACTACTTTTAAATCGAGAACACCGTCCTTCGCTTTTTGCAATAACGTGACAAAACGTGTCGTTAATAGGCCTAGTGATTTTTCAAATCTACTTTGTTGATTATCTGCCATTCTCGAGGTCGTTGTCAAAATTTTCAAAACTCACTATTCTCTTCGAAATTGCCGCAACACCACGGACGCCATCCCAGTTAATGCGCAAGAGGTATTTAAATATGAGCGCGTCTCTAGTGTCGACGTTACGTTAATCTTTGTAAAAGATTAGCACTCTTCTGTTATTATAATTGTGCGTTGGACATTACTCGGATGAAACTTTATTTGAATAAGAATTACGAGGTAATAATTAATCATTAATCATTTACTCATTACTCGAGTTATATGTTCCTTCAATTGTCCGTTATTCGTGTAAAAAGTCCTTATCAGTTATCCGTTACTTATCTCATTCCTGTAAAATCCGTAGTACTATATGATTTTTACTCGGCACTGTTACGTTATGGTATTCAAGGTAGAGTAAAATTAAACGCTTTACTGTAAAATACAATTTTTATATTTACAAAATACAGGTAAGACCAAACCACAGACTTATCTTTTCAATATGTACATTTTTTAATTTACTATATTTTTATACAAAAATAGTTAATAATGAAATGTGTTATAAGGATTGCTGGTTTTGTTTAACAAAATAAAATAAAATATGTTTAAAAAGTATGTATTTACATTTGCTGATAAACAGCACCTTGTATGTATGAGAATGTGAGTGTTGAATTATATAAAACTTATATAAAATATGAACAGTCTAAGTCTTCAAAGACTATGTTAAACTATTAAACGTTTTCCTATGGAAAGATAAATTCATTAGTTACAGTAGTTGCATCTGGACTAAGACTGGAACTTGCAGAACTCAAAGTTTCTTCTTTAATTTTTAGATTGGAAGAATCTTTATTTTTGTCCTTATCTTTATCTTTTTCTTTAGCTTTATCCTTATCTTTGTCTTTCTTCTCTTTATCCTTGCCATGCTTATGGTCGTGTTTATGCTTATGTTTGTGTTTATGTTTCTTTTTGTCCTTTTTCTTTTTCTTGTTCTGAAAAATATAGATACAAAACATGTTTATACAGACGCAGAAAAATGCAGAAAAATAATTTTGATAGTCTAAATTACCTTGTTGACAGAATCACTCTTTTGTTTATGTTCTTCTCCTTCTTTTTTAAACATTCCCGGTTCAAAGCCTACTGGTCCAGCGGTTCCCATGATACCGGGTAATGATGCGGAGTTATCGCTATAATATTCTGATTTTACTTTTCCTTCGCTGACTGTTGAATTTGTTCGCTCGTCCTTTTCAACATAAAATTAATAAAACTTATAGTTTGAATTTAATGTTCGATTCTGTATATCTCTAGCGATGTATTAATTACCACTTTCTGTCGTTTTGCTTCTGGGCCATAATCAACCGAATTTGAAGGGCCAGGAATATCTTTACTGGGAGAAGGTTTCCTTTTATTTACAGCATTTGTACTTTCAATTTCAATCACTGTCGGTTCGTGTTTTATATGTACTAAATTTGGTTTCACCTGAAACGTACATATTTTATTTCATAATTATTCAAACTAAGATTTCCGTAATTCAAACTTACATCCTGTTCTGGGCTCGGTGGACCCGCCTTTTTTGGTTTTGTAAGGGCAGCTAGCTCAGGAATGGGGAGGCAAAGTGGACGTTTCGAACCGTATAAAGTATAATACAGATCAACTAAATCACATCGTATTTTAGGATCATGAGAAAGCATGCCACTAAAACAGTAAATTTATATTAAATACTTCCACGAAGAATTATATAGTGATTAAAATTAAACATACTTAATAAGGTTCCATATACGATCAACTAATTCAGCACGATCCAAACGATGCTTATGTGCTTTCTCGAAGGGTGGATTTTCGACCATAAGCCTCACTAACCGATGTCGAACTCCGGGGTGAGGATCCATCTCTATCATATCGAGCAGAAATTCTAAATCTTCCCATTTACCATCCACTCTTGTAAAATCGACTAATGCTTCCAGTGCCGCAATTCTGACATCTAAAGCGATCGTGATAGGAATTTACGAATATTTAAAATATTATTAATATGTAACATAGAAAATATTTAAGTACCGATAAACTGTCCATAGGCAGCATAGGCTCTGAAGAGATGAGGATTACTGGGAAGATGGCCGAATTTTTGTAAAATTCTTATGACTTTCAAGCAAGCAACACTGACTGTATATTTATAACACGGCAACAATTTTTCTAAGTTCAAATTTCTAGTAACTTCTTCCAATATAGCTTTCGTATCAACCGATAAAGATTCAGCGGTAATGGCAGTCCTGAAAACATTATTGCAGATTCATAAATTATCAAAGAAACAAATCATTTTATTAAATATTTATCATACCCTTGTTGTATGCTAATTACAGGTGTGACAGTAGCTCCAAGAGCTTCGATCAATGCCGCTCTGTAATAGTTATCCGAATATCTATTTTTACTATTATCATTGTATTTGAATAAATCCATTAGAAAGGCTAACACTTCTGGTGGACATATACCATGTGCATTGCGCAAACCTGCCATTGCTACAGGTATAGTCTGAAATCGTAAAAAATTATGTAACATAAAATAATATTTTACTTATTTTGCAAAATAATATTTTAACCTTTTGTAAAAAGTAATGTTGGAAATTTGAAAAATTGTTCTGTTTGATTATTCGTCTACACGAAGCCGATCCAAACAATTTTCTAAATATGGCTAACATCGCAGGTGGGCCAGCCCATGTTGCAACCATTGCGTTAGCAACCTAGTAATACATTTATTATTAATAACTTACATGTACGTAAACGACAGAAAATATATCTGCATAAAATATAAATAACCTTGGTTAAACAATGTGCAGCTCGCAATCTGACTTTATAATAGCAATGTTCATTTTCTATGGTATCGGTTAATGCTAATCGTGTAGCAGGTGTTGCGTGATTCTGCAAGGCTTCGATAGCTTCTAATTGCGCGGTGACGTCCCTTTCGTGTCTTAATTGATATTGCCATTGGTAATCGGGTTGTTCAATTTGAACAGCGCGCATTAGTGTCATATCGGGATCCAATCTTATCCACAATACAGGAGAATCACTGCAGATGAAATAAAAATTTATACCGTAAGTGTGTTTTTATCTTAAAGAATGTACAAATATAGGCTTTAATATAAGATGAAGCAATATTTACTCCATAGCAGAAAGGTCCATGTCCACTTCTTCTCCAGTACATAATGGAATCTTTTTCTTCTTATTTCTACGGCTTTTACTGTGACACGTTATATCTGCTTTTGCAACGGTACCTTCAATTTGTAAAGTATGTTTGAAAGTACCATCTAATTCTTGGATATTAACTAGAAGAGGACCAACATATTTTCTAATTCCTCTTTGGTTTGTAGTATCCTGTCGAATTTCTAATTCCACGGTATTTCTATAAAACACATTGCAGATTAATAAATTGCTTGGATTGGTTTACCTCTTCAAGTAATTACCTTTTTCTATTAAATACAAAACTTAAACTAAATTTTGCATGACCACCAGTTCTGACCCACTGGTCTATAAAAACTGCCATATCTTTACCTGTTACGGTAAAGATTGCTTTTGTAAATACATTTGTACTAATTAACATGTGAGACCAGAGTCCAGAATCAATTTTTTGTTGAGCTGCATTAGCTGCTAATGAAAGTTGTTTATTGAAAACCTAAAACAGAGATAAAAAGTACATATTTTAGTGTATTTGGGATGGTATATAATAAGTACCTGTAGGAGTAATTCTTGTCCAATTCGATGTTCTAACATTCTAATCACTAAATGCGCCTTTTTACGAAGTACTTCAATGTACTTTGGAGACATTGTATGTAAATTCCTTATTGGAAAATAAAAACCAGGATCTGGAGCTCTAGGGGTTGGTGCTGGTGTATTAGCTGCAATAGGTAATGGTGCTGGAGGTTGTGAAGGATCTAAGATTATACCTCCAAACTGTTCTTCGTATCTTACAACTTCTTGTAATTCCTAAAAATATGTATAAAATAAAATTTATGCTTGACTAGGTAATACATAATAACAGGAAAAAGATTTTTACCGATTGTACCCATTCTCGGTATTCATTATTGCCAAAACATTTTTTTGCATATAAACCGGTTAGATACGTTGAAATACCTTTAGGTAACCACGTATCAGACCAATTTTGCATGGATATAAAACATCCAAAAAATTGTTCTGCCACAGCCTGTGCCATAGCCTTTTTTGTAATATAAACTTGATCAATAATTGCAGTAGAATGTAATAAATTTGTACTACAAACGAATAAATTTTCATTGAGATAATTACTTATATATTGAATGTAGATAATATCTAAGGACTTAGCTTACTTTAAAATACTCATAGTGGCATATGCGTTTATATCTTCGTCCAATTCATCTACAAACACTTGTTTATAACAAGAATAAGGGTATCTATTTGACAAAGTTTCTTCATAAAATTCAAATGCTTCATGCATATATTTTGCAGAAACTTTCAATGATGGTAACAATTGTGGTAAACAAAAATGTGTTACCTCATGCATATAAGGGTCCACAAATATTTCAAATGGTCTGTAAAATAAAAGTGTTGCAACTTGATTTTTTATCCAGTATAAATATAAAATAAGTCATCAATTAGCTTACCCAACTGCAAGCGCAATATTTGGTGCACATGCTGGTGTATTAAGAACATAATGAAAGGTTTTTCTCCTCATGTCTGGTGTATATACAACTTCTACTAGGTCACCACAAGATATAGCAGTCATTGAATCATCAACAGTGAATTCTAGTTTCCAAGTACATGGTTCTGCAAAACTATCAACACATGGAAACCATAGTCTTGACGAATTTTCGTAGCTATATGTATACATATGTGCTCCTCTCTAAAATAGAATACAATACCTGTATACAGCTAAGTTCAAAGAGTAGATATCTATAAAATTAATTGGTTATACCTCAGCTAATGTTCCTTCACAATTTGGTACAACAAAATGCACTCCACCTTGAGGTTGTTCTAAAGAGAATTCAATGCTAATTCTTAAACTTCTTCCTTCAGCAACTAGATGCGCTGCATCTGGTGGGATCTGTACTACTAATTCTCCTGCATTATTATCTGGATCAACTCTCTGTGCAGCTGCTAAGTGCATGTTTGAAAAGAATTCCAATGACCTCCTATAAAAATATATTATTATACCAAGTGTTATACATATATCTGTATATTGATACTTACTGTTTTCCATCTCCTTGACAGATATCCAAAAATGGGTCAAAATATTGAAATGGTGCTTCATAGGTGTCATTTAAACATACTCTATAAATTCTACATTGCTTCGCATTAAGTTTTATCAGTCTTAATGTATCTCTAAGTGGAACTATTGTCAATTCTACAAATCCCTACAATAAAAATACATAGTTATGAAATAAATATTGTAGGAACATTGATCCTTGACTATTATTTCACTTACAATAATGCTCTTCCTTTGAAAGCTTATACCTGTGAGGCTCAATATTTGATGAGCCGTAAAATAGAAAGAAAACAATAAATAATGACTAACACAGTGAATATATATAACAGAATATTAGATTCTTCTAACTATTTCAAAAAAACTAGTATCTGATGCTGTTAGAAACTAAAAAATGAAAATGAAAATTTTGTAAACATAACCTTAAATCATAACTCAAAAATGGGTGGAAATTATGATCTCAAACTTTTCTGTACATCTTTAATAACTAAGTATGGAAAGAAGTTTGCAGAAATGCATGAAATTTTATTTTTGAAGCTTGAAGCTACAATCAATTATCTTTGTTTACATTATGAAGCTCTTGGAAATACTTATAATTTATATGGTCGGCTATTATCGGCCGTTCTTTCCTTCTTCATGTTTCATTTATATTTTCCCACTATTTGCTTTTAACAATTTATACATAATTTTGTAGGTAAATCGGAAATATAAACATTGTTGACATTTTAATACATCGAAATTACTGTTTTCATAAGCAGTTATAATCATTGAGTATGCATATCACCCTACAGATATGAACGGAAACCTCTATCTACAATTGTCGGGTCACAACCTTCTTTATCGATTGAGAGTAAAATTCATAATGAAATTACAGTGCATTTAGTTGTGAAAATTGAAGGAATATTAATTAAAAAAATGGAATGCTGACTTCTTTCGATTGTGGGTAGAATATATTTTATGCAATTGTTATTGATAATTGAGTGCCCGAATGTAGGCGCCTAAAAATAGGCAACCCAAAATACAGTTACGTGACATGAACAGCATCCTCAAGGGGCAAAATATTAACCCGATCTGAAATATCGACGTCATCCAAAACCTCATTTTTACCAACTGTTTTACTACGCACTCTATAATTTAGGACGGTGATTTCAGGAACTAGATCGAACAATATGATCGAAAGTGATGAGGCTATAAATGCGGGAAATCAGCATTGCAGACGAGATGATGTCTGCGACAAATAGTGCGATTGTGTCATCAAATCCGAAAATGGTAATGCAGTTGAATTCATTCTGATTCATACTCACATTTTGTAACCTTTCTAGGTATATAAAATATAGGACACAGGTTTATAAATAATAGAATACATTTATTATTTCTTGTTAACCTAATACAAAAATGGAAGAAAATGTAACATTGAAGGTGTTTAAAGAATGTCATTAGTCATCGATTTCCTGAATGTCATTCGTAAAATCTTTTTTGGGTGCGTCACCGACTAAGAAGAATTTTTTATCTGCAAAAAGATATCCATGACCACGAAAAGTTCAAATAAAATGTGATTACATTGCTTAATCCATATAGATATTAATGCGTCATCTAGAAGGTTAAGTACTAATCTTATAAGAATTCTCGAAAAATGATGCGAAAAATCACGATGCGTTTCCAGATAGAGACTAATAGTTCTTACTAAATAAGCAAATACTGATCTTTCACGAACTAAGTTAACAAACATCATTACAATATTATACATAACTTATCAGTTCGGTTATATCGCAGCTTATTTGCTCCATTAGACAGCGATATTTGCCGCGTTATACATATATTTATTAACCGCAGACTTATCTAGGTGTTCACGTGGTTGGAACAGTGAAACATGAGAAGTAGAATTACAAAAACGATTTCAAAACGACATGCGACTATATAACGTGTACAACACCGTGAAAAATATATAAATGTATTTTACTATCTGTTCGAATAAGTTTTAAATTCACGCCAGTCTTTTTTGATTGATTAAATCTGTCATGTTCTTTAGAATTATAATAAAATGCATTGAAATACTGCGTCGGTAAAAACTTTGAAACGCTATCAATTACAGACGCTTATATGAGAAGCGATCGCGGAACAGATTAGTATATCTAATAGACGTACGCATGAGCATAGGTACGAACGGATTGTTCTTGGCGCGTAACATTACGTGTACACAAGGTTTTGTCGTAGTATCGTGTGTATACGCGAAGCCGCAAGTTTGGTAATTTACTAAAGCGTGCACTCGAATCAAATCCTCGCACGAATCATTTTCCACCTGTGTCCAAAAGTGCGAATTACTCATCGACCATTACTTTTCGTTTCCCCGAAAGCTAAATAAATCGCACAGTGATACTTCATCGATTGGTGGGCATAAACATGTTAGCCTTGGTAATCGCACAGCGCACCGCGATTTCGGCGGACGGGTTCGACACCATTTCGAGTTGCAGTGACACCATGGCTAAAGTTTCGACCACAGTTGTTACGTAACTTGTTACGCACCGTGCACACAACTTACGTATTTCTGGACATATGTACATGTATTCATATATACAGCACGGTGTAGGTGAGACTTCCACAAGTGTGGGAGCGGATCTGGCGTGCACGTGACCGAGTGCATGCATATAATTGTATGTATGTAGTCGGTGCGCCAACAGGGCAGTCGCAACGTGCGCGGAACCCAGTGCAAAAATTTTGCATAGATAAATGATACAATATTGTTCTCGTTCTTTCTTAAAATTAAAAAATTTTCTAATTACACTTGTTCTTAAAAATGCTTACATTGTATTTGCAAGTACGTGTTTCAATCTCTTCAATTTCGAAACTTTAATAAACGTCATAATGCTAATTTTGTTGCGATAAATTCGTGCCGGCCCTGTGCGTAGCTATTGGCACATACTTGTGCAAGAATGGCTTCCCTCAGTTAAGGGGAAGTGCGGTCTCGTGCAAGTTTGGCTTCCTCGTAAAAAAGAATCTCAGCACTTCGTTCCCTGTCACAATAGTTAATCTAAACTGGCCATCCGTAAACATTCACATTACTTGTCTCGACATTTGAAATAATCTGAAAATACTGATTCAAATCATTTTTAAATTTCCGTATCTATTATTTTTGGATCTGAATCATGAAAATGGATGGCAGTCGTAGGTTAGCTTCGTTCGCGCGAAGCGGTGCACGAGTAAAATCGTCGCGAGTGGTGGATCTCCTTCTCCTACACTTCCCCTTAACCAGAAGAGCCTATCTTTGAACGCGGTTGTACTGGTTAGTCGGCTAGTAAACTACTTGACTGTTCAATTATTTGAACGTCATGCGCGCGGACGCGCGAGTCTGTTCAAAAGCTTGGCGATCGGTTGTTGGCTACCGACATTCAACGGGCAAGGATTGTCAACGTTCCTGACAATCACCGGCAGTCACGCTGTTCTACCTGTGTCGGCAGTCCGTTGAACGTATCGATAGAGTGTAACGATGCTGAATCTGTTCGAACCACTCCTCGACATTCCGACGGTCTACTACGGGGCGCTGCTGGGCGCCGGATTTTGCATCTATTATCTTTTTGAAGTTGTGAAAGTGAGTAAGCAGTATCTTTTTCTCTGTTGCTCATTCATTTACATTCTTTACGGAAAGTTTGTAGTCGGTCGTGATTCATCGGCGAGACGATAAGCAATACAAAAATTGACATCGAATGCAATTGTCGAAACGGTTAGGTCGAACATTTCGATAGTTATTCGATATTTGATTGATATTTTAGATCGACGATGCAGATTTTGTTACAGACCACGAAAGAGAATATGCATTCACACGATGCTTTTGTTGCGCAAATTTGACGAGCAATTTTATTATTTCCTTGCGTCGAATTGTTATTTAAATTTATTCGTGAATTTCAAATTAGGAAATATACAAAGTTATTGGTTATCTGTAGACTTTTAACCTTCATTAACATCAATCATCGCGTTTGGTTCAGAGTCACGCGTATATCATGCTTCATTCTATTAAACGCGTCGTTTAGAAATAATAACGGATTTCGCTTGGAAATCTGGAACCTTCCGTTGGAACAATAAAAAAATATTGGTGCGCGAACTTGGAATGAATTTTAATTTCCAGATGCGTCTAATTGAAAGAACAGAATTAAATCAACGACGTATGAATGTATATTTGGTACGGCATTAACCCGCCAATATCATCGCACGACCATTGTTTGATCATTCGTTGACCCCAATATTCCAATTCTCACGCGAATTAATAACAAGGTTAAGAAATTGTTATATGATAAATGTTCTGAATAAAAAATTTTTATCTAAAATACAAAGTTCGTGAAAGAAAAATTCTGTCTCGTTAATATTGCGGAGAAATTTGAGAATTGCGAAACGTCGAATATACTTGACTGATTCAACGAGATAATCGAAAGTCGAATATCTCGTTTTCCTTATCGAGCGATTAAAAACTCAAAGCCACATATAATAAATATCATTAATCGCGATATATTATCAGGATTTCCGCGATACGAATAGCCGAACTCTGACACGACCCTTCGTGGTTTGTACGAGCCACGAGGAGTTGCACGATTTATTAATTTGACCTTAAAACTCCGAGGCATTTGCCCCGGACGAATTGCGCGCCCGTTAGTGTGCGCGCGCATCGAACGCACACGCCGGAACAGGTGACATCGCGCGTTCGCCAAATAGCCATTCGTCAAGAATAATCCGATGCTGAATAGACGGACTCATTGGTGTACATAATTTATCGGTGGACAGACAGAACATGGTTTCATTCTTTTTTACAGCGGAAGATTTCTTATGTTTTTAAATGTTACTTGTGCGATTACGAACAGAGAGGTTAAGCTGGACATCGCATAGAGCCACACTAGAAATGTTATCGATAACTATCGATTTATATTACATGGCAAATAATACTAACTGAAGTAGAATCTGATTTGTTAGTCAAATTTACTCGTCATTGACATTTTGAATGTAAGCTGACCCACACTTTTAGTAGTCAAACTATTCTGAATTTAAGTTAGGTTATATTTGCATTTGAAGTTTAAACAAGAATAAATTAATTCGATGTACGATGTACAATAGAATTGAAACACTGTGATCAGTAAAAGCTGAAATATATCACTAAAATTTGTGTATTTTTGTTTAAACTTTAAACCTAATTAAAGCAGACTGATCTTATTACTCGAATCTAATTACTCTTTATCGAACTTAGGTTAAAGTACATAGATTCGAAGTTTGAACAGTCATAAACAGATTTGACTTGTAAAATTACGTGTTACTTTCAACCTCAGTCGTTTTATATTATTATTAACGATAATTTCAATATTTCGTTGAGTAATGTTAATATATGGATAATATACGATATTTTTAAAACGAAATAGGAAAATTAAAATGAACAGTTAATTAAATTGCTGGCATACAAAGGCGGGTAGGGGACAAATGAGGAGGAAAATCAAGAGGTGTCAACAGTACCTAATGAAACTGTTACACTAGTGTAGAACATAAGTGTTTTGATAAGCAGAATTAATCGGTTACTAGATACACTCAGCATTAATGAACAGTCTACGCGTATAAATTATTAAGGAGTGGTATAACGTGTACACAAACAAATTATATCGAAAAAGACTACTCATTGAGTTGTAGATAACTACGTATGTTATAAAATATGCAGTCTATTATTAACCATTCGTATTCATAAAAATTGTCTGTAGCTTTATGTCTTTGAAAAGTTCAATGCCCTTATAATATGCTGTTATAGCGCTTAATCATTCGATCATCCATCGCGGTCAATGAATCGATAAATAAAACGATGCTTAAATAACTTTCAGACGCCGATGCTAGTGTGTTCCCATGGACCATTCCGATCGTTCCTCGAGCAACATGTGCCACTTGTAAGAAATAAATTCTGGCCTACCCTATGGTGTTTCGAATCGAGGGCACAGACCATTATAGCCAGCCTTCTCAGATCGCGAATCTTACCACTTATTCATTATCGCAGGTTGGTAAGTCTGTCTTTAACGTTACTGCTGTCTAATCTAATAGATACAAAATTATAATATTCGAAATGTAGGTACGAAGGACGATTTAAAGTTCCAAGATATTCGATGGAGCACATTAAATACTAATTAGAACTATCTATTCTTTCAACACGTAATACCGTACTAAAAATATAGCGCTGCTAATTATATGGTCTTTATTTATATAGCTCACGCTGTAGATCGCTGTATATTGCCACCCGTTGCATTGCTACGAATTATACTATGTGATATATCGTTACACGTTGCATAGTTAAATATTATTTTGTTCGCTTATTATTGTTAATATTATTCACAACCTTCAATGTTAAAGTATTAGCATAGATAATTCTCGTGACATTTAGAGTGTTAATTAGTATAAGTGTTTATTTGCAAGGACGCGATTGTAAATTATCGTGCCTCTTTTACTTCCTTCTAATTAATCACTTGTCCCACAGGGAGATCCTGACCTTGTCGGATGGGGGTGAAGTGGCTCTGGATTGGGCGGAAGAGGGATGTTCCGTTGCTTCGCCTATCGTGATTATTTTGCCAGGGCTGACTGGTGCAAGTCAAGCAGAATACATCAAGTGCCTTGTTTCGTCCGCGAAAAAAGTTGGGATACGATGCGTGATTTTTAACAACAGAGGACTAGGAGGAGTAGAGCTGAAGGTATTAGGATGATTCAAGCATTTGACCCTTTAGTAACGCTTATTACATTGTATGTCTCCTATCACAAACTAAAACCATTTTTTTTACAGTGCGATTAACCGTTTAGAAGCAACTTAGATGGTAATTATAAGCCATTTGCAAGTGATATATATAATATATGTAAATAAGCTTGCGTAGCAAAAAGAGTACCTAATTTCTTTTTTATTAAATTCACAGAAATTTTCTTATAAATACTACTATACTTGCGTAATGTTCGATAGCGGTATCTTTCCTTAATAAACTTCATTTATTCTTCTATATTAAGCCAAGATATCGTTTATTATATAGCAGGAGACAAGAAATTAGACCTATCTCTCAAGTATTAATGTACTGCTTGTAGATAGTTGAAGAAAAGTGTGGAATGGTTTAGCAAAGCAATATCAGGAATGACGAGAAACGACCTATTTTTTATCCTATTTATCTCGTGTAATACAAGTCGCGTATAGCGTTTTCAAACTTCCAAACTGTAACATAATACTGAACTTTAAAATTATGCGAATAAGCGACCATTCTAAGAATTGATGCGTTACAAGAATACAAGCACAAATTTATCGGGAATAATCGTATAATTGCAGACTCCACGGACGTACAATGCTGCGAACATCGACGATTTATCAGAGGTTATCGAGCATGTGAAAAAACTTTACCCGCATGTACCCCTTGGAGCGACGGGCATCTCGATGGGAGGGTAATAAAGATTTTCTTTCCGACACAACAAAAAAATATTATATTCATTGTATTTGCACGGTGCTATAAATGGTCGGCCTTGAAACAGAGTAAAAAATATAATTAGCGCTTCATATAACAGCGTCGATAGTAGCGGTACAATGAACACGTTGTGTGATCTGTTTGCAGATTAATATTAGGTAATTATTTAGCGCAACGAGGAACAATGGCGAGGAACAAATTAAAAGGATGCTTCCTTATCTCCGTGCCGTGGAACGTGTTCGCAGCGACAAAAAACACTGAAGAGAATTATTTCAATTTGATGATGAACAAGTATTTGGCCGGCACGCTACGCAAGAATATTCAACGTTTGCATAACTCATCAGAAACTGGAATGTTCGACGTGGATATCGATACTATTCTGAAAGTAAGCTTATCTAGCTATCTCTGTATTGATACGCCGTTATCTGCTTAATTAATTTAATATGTTTTATTCTCTTTTCTCCAGAGTCAAACGGTACGAGAATTTGATTCGCATTTCACGGTGAAACAATTTGGCTACAAAGACGTGGAGGAGTACTATTCAAACGCAACTATACACGACAAATTGCATTTGATTGATGTGCCATTATTGTGCCTTAGTGCTGCGGACGATCCATTCCAACCTGTTCATGGTAATTAAGTTTGTGCATCGTCTTTACACCATATCGACCCAGTCTAAAAAATGAATAAGTAAATTCTTCAAAATAATTTCAACTCTTTTTGGTTTTTGATATTTAGCGATTCCTCTGAAAGAAATAGCGGAAACGAAGAATGTAGCGGTCGTGGTGACTTCGCGTGGTGGTCACATAGGTTTTCTAGAAGGAGTATGGCCGGTAAAGGAGGAGCAATACATGGGAAAATTATTCTCACAATTTTTTGCCGCACTCTTCACCGCTGATGTAGATCGTCACATATTATGACGAACTTATGCACTATGCTGCGAGTGCATTCACGAATATTCTTACCAAATATTCGGTTTATATTTGGCCATTACATGAAAACTAAAAGAATCACGTGCCATGATTAATCGTATTCAGGGTATCGTACATGTGATGTAATAGTGATAAGGGATACAGGATTTTCATAGCTTTTATAAATCTGTTAACGACCTGAGAAGTATTAGCTTCAAATAATATAGGTATATAATTTTTTTACACGCATACACGTAAACGTGTTTTAGATACCAAAAACGCACATTTGTTTACGCATGTAATAATGTTATATTTATTTTTTAACATAACATGTGTTTATTACAAACCTTTGGAATTAATATATAAATTGGAACAGAAATAAAGAATATTTTAATTTTATATGTTTACATTACTTGTGATTTTTTATTGACAATCCCGTTAGAAATCCTGTTATGGTCAGCTCTTTCTATGATTTCGAGGACGGTATGTATATCTGGATGATATTAATCCAACTTAGAGTTTTAAACGATCAATCTATGTTCTATTTAGATAGTAGGTCATTAGATAAAATGGAATATAAATTGGTGCACACGATTAATATTTATCACTGTTTACTATAAACTAAATAATAATTTTTGAGGCTATCTTATGTCAGTAAACAACTTAATCAAAAATAAATATCTGCATTAGGCGAATAAAGTTTGAGTATATTTGTTTAGGATATGCAATATTTGTATTTCGCGTGAAATTTAAAATATGTACAGCGCCATCTTGCGTTTGGTGTTTCTGGATTGCTCCTGGTAGCTAGAGAACATGAAAGCGAGGAGGTATCCAATGAAAGTGTGCGACAAGGACAGCCTACTGTGCGACAAGAATAGACATACTGCACCGCCCCAAAATGGCGTCGTACATATAAATCGAAACTGCGGCGTAAAACTGTTAATTACTTCTTTCCAGCAAATAATTTTTACACTTTTACAGTTGCTTTATGAAGAATGTAATTGTAGTAACGTATAAACGTAGTTTTCATAAATATTTTGTCCGTAATTAATCGTGAATTAATAAATTAAGAAGAGGTAGCACAATGGCTACCCGGATACCTCCTTTACTTTCATGCTATCCTATTACAATACTTTAGTTCAGGGTGTGTACCGCTAGATGGCGTTGGTTGACCTATCAACTACATGGATTCTGAATTTTAAATCAATAATTAATTAAAAGCGTAGTGTTTGCGGAAATTACAGCTGAAAATTGCTACGAATGTATAATTTACAAAAAAATTTCAAAAATGTGTGGATTATTTGCAGAAAACAAGTAATCAGTAATTCATTATCGCAATTTCAATTTTATTCGTCTGCCGCCATTTTGGGGCGGTACGGTATATCTATCCTTGTCTAGCATTGTGCTGTCCTTGTCGCACACTTTCATCGAACACCTCTTCGCTTTCATGTTCTCTAGCTACCAGGAGCAGTCCTGGAACACCAACCGCTAGATGGCGCTGTACATTTTTTTTTTTTATTTTATCTACTCAATCGAGAGGATCAAAGTACCTTGGCAAGTTTCAAATGGTTATATTAAAATAAAACACAAATTTATTGAAACATGAAGTATTTATTTATATATTATTTATACATAAACAGGAAATTCGTTCAGGAAAAAACATTGAAGTAGTATAAACACTTGTTGTAATAATTACAATTCATTGTATTGTATTAATAATGCTCGAACAGATGTTAACACTTTTTCCAAATATTAGCAGCAGTTAATGCGTTATTTACGTAATCTGCTATTTGAACATCAGTGAAAATGACATATAAAAAATGCTTCCATGGAATTTCTTTTTATTATTTAATATTTAATAAAAAATTATTATTATTAATATCACTGCTATTTAATCCTAGAAAATTGATAGAAGTCTGAATCAGAAAATGCTTCACTTTTATACTTTCAAGATGATGTACAATAGACATTGATACACTGGATGAATTTTTTATTTAACAAATTAGTAATTATTATTTATAATACAATTTATCAAAACCCGTGAGAGAACATTTCAAAACAGTATTTTGCAATGCATATAATGGCAATGTAAAAATGCTTCATATTAGAATGTTATTGTTATTTAATGTATTAAGATAATTCCGTCCAGAATTTCTCACAAATAAAGCAGCTTTAGCATGTTTCAGTGTATTTTGCCTTAATTTCATATCATTGGATGTGATAGAATTTTATACACGATAGCATTAAAAGGCTCTTATCCGTAGTACAAAATATAAAGATGTTAATACTCCCAATGTATTTTATAATTTAAACTCTAAGTCCAGAGATTTTACAATAAATGCTAATATATCCGTACTTTCCTCGATCTGAAATAAACATTTTTATGTAACAATATATATGCAAAATAAAATGAGATTATCATTATTTACTAACCACTTTCATAGTTGGTTTTCCACCACCATGTCCAGCTTTAGTTTCTATCTTAATAAGTAAAGGATTTGTTTGCTGTGGCAGTTTTCCAAGCGTATTTTGCAACGTTGCAATCAATTTGAGACTATGCAACGGTACGACACGATCATCATGATCTGCAGTCAACAATAATGTTGCTGGATATTGTCCATTTTCCGGAACTCTTACATTATGTAAAGGAGAGTACTTCAATAGGTTCTCGAAGTGTTTCGGATCATCAGAACTACCATAATCGGATACCCAAGCAACTCCAATTGTAAATTTATGGAAACGTAACATGTCCATTACTCTGCATACAAGAAAGCATAAGTAGATTTTACAGTAAACTTGAGATCTAGATTTATAGGGTAAAGAGATTTGTTATTAGCCACCTACCCGACTTGAGCAATGGCAGCACCAAAAAGATCAGGTCTTTGATTTGCACACGCAGCGATCAACAGGCCGCCATTACTTCCACCTAAGATACTTAATTTAGAAGCTGTGGTGTAGCCATTGTCGATAAGGTACTCGGCAGCAGCTTGGAAATCGTCGAATACATTCTGTTTATTAAAGAATCGTCCACCATTATGCCATTTTTCTCCGTATTCGCTAAAAAAAAGTACAATGAATATAGTTATGTTATAAAAACATATTTAACATTCAACTTACCCGCCACCTCGAATGTTCGCTACAGCAAGTACTCCATTCAAATGCTGAACAAAAACTAGTTTCGTAACGCTGAACGTAGGTTGGATGCTTACGTTGAATCCTCCATAACCATATAACAGAGCTGGCATAGAACTATCCAATACAGCATCCTGAATCGAATATTTATTATTACAACTTTTTACTTGACAGGTTTATAAATATCATATTACAAATACTTACATGTTTCATTACAATGAACATTGGGATTCTTGTACCATCTTTACTTGTATAAAATACCTGACTAGTTTTATATAAACTCGGATCAAAGTTCTTTACTTTAATTTCTCGCAGTACCTGTAAAAATATTTGTATATATACACGTCCGATCTTTTCATTTTTTAATTGTAATGCATTTTATGCAGGAAGAATAACTAACTTGTGGTTCTTCATCAGTTTTGAGATCAACTTTGTATATGATACCAGGAATTAAAAATGATTTGAATTGATAAAATATTTCCGAATATTTCTTTTGTCCTGCAAAATTAACTATTGTGCCCACATCAAGGGGAAAAGTTCTAATTTTTTCGCCAGTTTTTAAACTGTGTAATTGTAAAATGTTCTGAAAGAAATACAGACTGTTATAATTTATTACAACAATTATACTAAGAATAATAGGCCTTGTATATTTACCTTAACATCTTCAATATAGCAAGCTACAAATTTATCACCATCGACTGCACAAGCCCAATCTAATACATTGTCAGGATGTTCTGGTAGGAGGTCAATCCATTTTTCTTGCTTATAATCCAATAAATCTATAGCTATTAATTTATAATTTGGCGCATTTTTGTTCGTCCGAAATATAGCTTTGGTACCATCATTTGTTACATACTGTTTAAAAATGAAATCAGCTATAAAGGAAAGCATCAGAAATGGATAAATATGTATACTATATCCAACCAACCTCGTAATCAGCTTCAAGTTTATCAACGACCTGAGTTAACTGCAATTTCTCAGTTATTTTCGTGTCAGGAATCAATTCTGTGAAATAAACTAAATTATCTCTACAGTCTTTCACAGGTGTGACAATCAGCCACTTTCCACAGTCAGAAACTTCAGCTCCTCTGAAAGCACACAACATAAGTGATAAACACATTAAATTATGTTTTATTAAAGTTGTTTTCAAAAAATACAACATAATCCTAACTATCTGTAATCAATTAACTTTGTTAAAACACATACACAATTGTATCACTCACATCCTCCATAAAGGTTCTTCAGGGAATTCAACTGCAATAACATCTTCTGACTGCGGTGTACCAACAATATGATAACACAGTTTTTGATCTCTGTTACCCTCTGTTTCTGAACCATCAGTTTTACCTTTCTGATCTGGATAACAACCATAAAATATCCCACGATTGTCATGAGTCCATGTTATGGGGGAAAACTTTACTTTTTCTAGGATCTCAGGATATTTTTCACCTGTGCACAGACATTCTATAAATAAACTTAACGTTCAAATATTTTTTTATAAGATGATTAAAATATTGATAACTGACCAGTTTCCGTATTCATGAAATGAATTGTACACCAATCAGACCCACTACTGGATAAACCATATGCATATATACTACCATCTTCACTAAATTTACTGCTTCTAATTGCAACAGTTCCATCGTCCGATAGAGTATTTGGATCTAGAAATACTCTTGGTTCACTATCCAGAGTATCTTGTACATATAAAACACTGAAACACAAATAGAGCTACGTGTTAAGATATTGCTGAGGTTCTATATGCACGAGACTCAACAATATAATAAAGGTTTTAGCTTTTGTAATAAATGTGTTAACATCTACAGTAGTTACCTTTGGTTTTGTAAGCCAGTATTTTTATAGAAGTAATATTTATTTCCATATCTAGCGGGACATGAGTATTTTGGAAAGTCCCATAATTGCTTTAATCGATCATGAATGTCTTGACGTGCTTTGCATGATTCTAAATATGGTTTAGTAACAGCATTTTGGGCATCAACAAAGGCTTTAGTTTGCTCTGAATCAGGATCCTCCAACCATCTATATGGATCTGGCACCTAATAAAAAATAATAAACCTTATTTATTGCTTATTCATTGTATAATGAAATACATAAATGCAAATTATATGTTTGATTAATGTATAAAAATATATCTAGATACTAAAACATTTGTATTACTTATGGTTATGTATCTACAAACTTGTATAAGAGAACGTATAATTTAAAAAATGATTATCTTAATTCTATTCTAACCTCGACTCCATGATAGTTATCAACAATGGATTCATCGCGATATGCTTCAGGATATTGTAATTTTTCCATTACTTTTTTATTCTCCATATGTTTTTGTACCAAATGGTCAAACACCTAAATGTTATCAAAAGATACGGTAAAATATATTTTAATAATATTAATGAATAATAGTATTTTAAAAAGCCTTTACTTTCACAGTAGAAAAAGGTGACGCGCGAATAAATTGCGAGTGGTTACAAAGAGCGAATTCCAATGTACTCTTATTTACACAATTTTGGATGTTAAGTAAACAAATTTTCTTTATTCTATTTACAATTAAGGGCACAACCGTAACACGCATTATTCATGAAAGATACGTAAGATACTCGTAAACCTAAATTTGTATTTTTTTACCGTATCAAGATATCTATAATATAGCTAAAAAAAGCGGGCTATCATCTACAATTTAATGCATTTGTTTTTCACGATACGATACAGTTACATTTATACTCAGCGATATTATTTATTTATTTAAATATTTATCTATTTATTCTAAGCGAAATATCAATTTTTTGTTTAACTAATTAACTTAAAAATATTAATGATATAATTATATAAAGTTTACAAGATTATAAATAAATTCGATAACAAAGGCTATTTAAATTCAAGCGATAATATGAATTTATGGAATACGCTTTCAACAAAATATTATGACCATCATTCCGAATATTGCTCTTTCTCTATCTCGTTACTCAGAATCGGAAAATTATACGAAATATTTATACATTCTGTCAAAATTAAATGCATAAACAAAAGAGTCTCAAATCATAATCGAAATGTGAATGGAATTAAATCTTATTCACGCGGCGCGAGATAAAAGTCACGTGACGAGCAGTATAATATGCGTTTTACCGAATGTATAATCAATTTATAAATATAAAAAAGAATGAAGTTAATATAAATATCCTAACTGTAAGTTTCAATAGTAACGTTAGTACGTGACACGGAAGAGTATATGGTATAGTCTTATCAATTGGCCTTAATTACCCCTTCTTAGACTGTGCGATATTTACAACACGTGAATATGACTTTTCACGCGTTTTGACTGGCTATCGAAATCATGGAAATACAGTGTCGTATGCGTGATATCGATGTTTAACTAGACATCGAATGTACAATTCTTAGAATGCGTTTAGTAAGAAAGTGGAGCAAGAGTAAGAAAAATTGTGCAGTTCGATAAAACTAAACTATCGAGTACAGAAGTTCATGATTTTTTTATTTCAAAATCTAAATGATTTCTTGGTACTATTTTACCAAATGGCTGAATGTAATTGGCGAACAATCAACCGGTGAAAACATGCTTGTTGATACTTGCATTTTGTCGTCGGGAGAGAATAAGTATTACAATTTAAATATTGTTCTTTAACAATTTTCCTCAAACGATACGAAATATTTATATGTATATATTAATATTTTTTTTATTGAGTAAGGGGAAGGGGTACAGACAGAAACATTTACGATCCTGAAACACTGCGGGAGGGAAAAACAGATCACGTAGAGTAGGCGAAGAGAGTTGCGTTCCGTCGATATCACGCGCGGGTCAGCTGTACTTTGTGCTGCGAACTTAGATAACCTCTTGCGTGTGTTCCAACCTCCCCTCTACTTTCTTCGACCACCCGGAGTTCATATAACATCAAAATCGAACGATTCCAGTATTCATTACGAGTCGTCCAGTGCATCAGTGAATTTTCGCTCGCATAAGTCGCGCACAATTCGTCGCTCGAGTGTTTCTAACCTACAAGTCGACCACCTACCAATCGAACCTCTGTCAGCGTGATCTACAGTCTAACAGGAAGAGGTCGTTGCTACTACGTGATCGTTTTATCGCGGGCAATTTGAATGTTTCTATCCAATCTGTCAGCACACGGAGGAATGCAAAAGGACTGTCGAGACTGTTTAGGTATCCGATACCGTATTAACTCCCTGGACCAAACGTGGAAGTGGTTGCATCAAACGATCGCCCTGCACGATTACCTGATCTCCATCACCGCCAGTCAAACCAACTACTTGAGAAAATCCTGCCAGTAGGGCCGCTATCTGCAGACGAAAATATTAACCTTAACCAAGGCTGTGTCTGGTCACCTTAAGTAGAGCTTTTCAATACACCTGGCAGGGTTCAGTAAAGACTGATTTCACGAATCGACCGCATTGTGTCCAGGGAGTGCGGTTTTTCATATCGGTACCGGACATTTCATCGTTTCACTAACTACCGCAAGAGGGGGAAGTGGTAAAAAGGAGGGAGATTACAAGTTACACGTGCATCAGTAAGAAAGAATGTCGCTGATCAATAGATTCATGATCGTGGTTAAACGAGGAGCTGGGTACAATTTGCATCACACTTGTAAATACTCAAGTTTCAATGACAAGCAAGACGACCCGAACGATTTGATCACTAAGTCAGTATTCATATCGCAATCCACGGATGTGTTCAGAAATTTAGCGTTAGAAGATTGGTTCTACAGAAATTATAATTTTACGAATCATCATGTGTTGCTACTTTGGCGCAACGATCCCTGCATAGTAATCGGGCGTCATCAGAACCCATGGATCGAGCATAATGTTCAGATTGCGGAGAAACGTGGTATAGTTGTGGCTAGACGGAACAGCGGTGGTGGTACCGTCTACCATGACACTGGTAACCTAAACTTGTCCTTTTTTACACCGCGGGAACGGTACAACCGGAAGTACAATTTGGGCATCATTACTAGAGCTCTGTACCGCGAATGGGGCGTAAAGGCTGACATTAACAAACGCGAAGACATCGTTGTCGAAGGAGAATATAAAGTATCCTTTGATGTAATGTATACAATTATATATTTCTCTGTTTCTATAGGGTGTTCCAAAATTCTAAGGATCACATTGCTTTGCGGTGTTAGATTTGACCAGATAGGAAGAAATATGGAACAAAAGTGCATTATTTTTTATTCTATAACAAAAACCGAACGCTTTGTTGTTACATTCGAAATGTTCAATGATAAGCCGCAATTTATCTTAATAGTCAGGAACGCGTTCACATACTGATAAATCTTCGATAGCCTTGACATTTCTGTTTTGCTACATGTGTACAATGGTGCATTCTGAAACTATTGTTGTATATTGTTTTCACTAAGATTATTTCACATTTTTAAATTTGTTTTTTGTATCAACGTGAAAAGGTAAAATAGTAGACGAAAAAAAATTGAACTAGTGGGTTTTGAACCCTGGTTCGTTGTGTTATAAATCAGTCACGTTGTTCCTGCGCTATGCACAATTATTCCGTGTGGCGTTACAATAAATTACATTTAGAGATCAAATAACCTGGAAACTTTCAATGAAAGATATTTTCTGTATTTTTTTAATTCCGTTAAAATTAATAATTCAAAGTAAAAAATACAAGTCAATTTCTTTTTTGCATCCTACGATAACAGAAATGTTATTAACATGTCAGAAGATTTTTTTTTGTTAATTTCAGTACAACATAATTAATATAAATTATGTAGGAGAGAAAAGAACGAGTAATTGGAACAACCCCTTATTTAAGAACCACGCAAAGTGCGAGGCGAAAATAAAAAAATTTAGCTGTGTTTCCTTAACTGTTTTGAAATGCAGATATCTGGCACTGCAGCAAAATTAGGACGGCCGAACGCGTATCATCACTGCACGCTGTTGGTCGATGTAAACAAAACCGCTTTAAGCTTAGCGCTCGAGAAGAAAGAGGTAAATTTTTGTCGTCTTATTATCACATTTTGCGTACAAAGTCTGCGGAACAGCTCTGTTATCGATGCACGTCTCGAAATAAATATCGTCTTAAGTAGTTGATAAAACGGAGCCGCAAACGCATTCTTTTTTCCAACTAATTTTAGATTATCACTGATTTTTTTAAACATTTTAACGTCTGCTTTATGATCGCCTTTATATTACAACTATACAATCATACATACATATACATACAATCCATACATGTACAATCAAACATACACTTATGTGATACAATTAATATTTTTTTATTAGATATACAAAAAGAGATGTAAAACCGCAAAGGTCAATTTTGCACGATACAGTATTAAAATATAAAAGAAGTAGAAAATATAAATATGTTTATTTTACAGAATGGCATAGAAACGAACGCTACAGCGTCCATCCGTTCTCCGATAAAAAATTTGATAGAAGTAAATTCCCATGTACAAATGGACAAGTTGATTAAAGCGGTCGGCTGGGAATTTCTTCGTACAAAGGCACTTGTTTTAGAGGACGGTGGACAGAATCTCATACAACGTCAGAAAGGATTTCAGTACATTAATCCTACCGAAGATTGGTTCCCAGGTACGTAACACCGTATGAGAATAAATCAGCTTCTAACCCTTTTGATATTAAATGCATAGTGCGGCGCAGCCTTTCTTTGATCATGAATTAATGCAGGGAGCCTCTCATCAGTTTTTCACGATTTTGGGGGAAATCTTCGTCATGAACAACTATGGAAGACTTATGGGCAATTAATGGGAGCGGTAGAATATTTTTTGCAGTGACTCAGGTTTAGAACTTTTAAGAGTTTTAAGGTTAGGTGCTTGATTTAGGAATTTGGTGCTTGGAAATTTTAGAATGTGGAATTGTAGAAATTTAGGAGTCTAGGAATCTAGGAATTTAGGAATATAGAAATGTGGAAACCTAATAATTTAAGGTATAGAAACCTAGGGACCTTGGGATCTAACAATTTAGGGATCTAGGAATTTGGGAATTTGGTAATGTAGGAATTTAGGGATTTGGGCATTTAGAAATTTAAGAATCTAGTGATCTAGTGATCTAGTAATCTAGGAATCTAGGAATCTAGAAGTCTAGGAACCTTAGAACCTAGGAACCTTGGAATCTAGGAACCTTGGAATTTAGGAACCTTGCAATCTAGGAACCTTGGAATCTAGGAACCTTGGAATTTAGGAACCTTGCAAGCTAGGAACCTTGGAATTTAGAAACCTTGGAATCTAGGAACCTTGGAATCTAGGAACCTTGGAATTTAGGAACCTTGCAAGCTAGGAACCTTGGAATTTAGAAACCTTGGAATCTAGAAACCTTGCATTCTAGGAACCTTGGAATTTAGGAACCTTGGAATCTAGGAACCTTGGAATCTAGGAACCTTGGAATTTAGAAACCTTGCAAGCTAGGAACCTTGGAATTTAGGAACCTTGGAATCTAGAAACCTTGGAATCTAGAAACCTTGCATTCTAGGAACCTTGCAACCTAGGAAGCTTGGAATCTAGGAACCTTGGAATCTAGGAACCTTGGAATCTAGAAACATTGGAATCTAGAAACCTTGGAATAAAGGAACGTAGGAACTTAGCCATTTAGGAATCCATCAATTTAGAAATCTAGAAATCTAAGACTCTAAAAATTCAATAACTTGGAAATTTAGAAATGAGGAAATTACCAACTTCATAATCTTCCAAAATCAAAAATAAACGATGGAATGCTCCCTACATTCATGATCAGTATCCTCCTGCACCAGGACCATGTGTACTCCCATAAAGATATTTATAATACCAAGAGGGTTGTAGCGATAACAAAATAACTTGATATAATTAACGAGCGTATGTTGCAGGACTCGACGAATTAGTAAACGAATTTAGATCCTGGGAATGGAATTATGGTAAAACGCCAAAATTCACGGTAACGCGTGTTCTCGATGTGCCTTTACGCGACAGTAAAGTCCATCGGTTCACTTTAACGTTGGACATACAGAGTGGTATCATCGAAGAGATCAAAATGAGACTTCCAGCCGATCTGGTATCGAAGGATTTCAGTCAAGAGGCAAGCGTGATAACTAATCTACGCGGCACCAGATACGATCACGAAGTAATGGAAAATATAATATCCGCGATCGGTTGCAAGACTGTTACATTAAGTACGAGCCAAAATGTAGATAAAAGTAATATGATTGCTACGCAATGATTAAAACCACCAAACAATCACAATGATTGCGCTTAAATTTAACGCAATGACAAAGTCACCTTATTGTATAATAGCTATGCAAATAGTGTAGACTTGTGTCGTGTATAGTCTCTTTTTGTTTTGTTGTTTTTTTATTAAAGACTTGTGTTTATTATCACTGTGTATGCATGTAATATATATATACATATATATTGTAACATAAACGATACAACAAATGTATTTTAGACCATGTATATCGTATTTTTGTATTTTTACACTGTTGACGTATGTGTATGATTTTTATAAACTGTTATTGTTAATAAATTTTATTAATGAACGTGTTCACTAACTGCTCTGCTTTATCGTTGATTAATTAACTAAATTTATTTTTGTTGCTTATCGATTACTGGTCGATGACCTCCCACTTGTTAATTCGACCATTGGCGTAATTATGCAGGAACTTGGCCATTCAAAAGTATAAATGTTTTCGCACTTCTTAAGTCATTCTGCATTCATTTCTGCATTTATGAATTCTTTAATTTTTTAATTTGCAAACTCCTACATTTTTCAACCTTTGTATTCATTGTGACTTCCAAATTTCCAATTCTTATCTACAATTTTCAATTTGTACATTTCCAAATAAATTGTTCAACACGTATATTTTCATATCTCCAAATTTCTAAATTCTTAAAGCAAATGTCCAAATTTTCGAATCAGTAGCTGAATATTCTGAACCCTCAAAATTCCTCCGCTTTACAAACTAAATCCGTGACAGTTTACCAAAGGTACATTTTAATTACTCCAATGGTCGAGAGCAATTACGCAAAAGTACAAAAGATGACGCATGAAAAATACAAAAGAAGAGAAAAAAGTCAATTGAAATTTGAAAGTCGAATGAATTTTCCAACGATACGTGTGTACTTTGTCCCAGATACGCTGCAGCGACAATAAGTTACCTCTATCTATATCCGGTCGCATTGTCATTGAAATTGGAAGCTGTTGACGGATAACGATAAAAGTTTGGCCGCAACATCACTTCCCCGTAGGGTGGCGGTGGAGTGTCTGGACGCGATTCCATCCAACTCCAACTGGATTCCCTTTCGATGTAGTCGTGTAAGTACCAATCGAACAAACGCGACACTCTCTGCTCGCGAAACGAGAATCTTCTGTTGCATCGAAACGCTCCGGACAACCAAACGTAGCAGCCGAACATTCCGCACGCAACGCCCGTTATAAAACCGATCAGAAGTAGCCAGTAGGATGAGAAGTGCTTCCCATAAGCGTCACTGTGTATCTCCTGACCGTTGTTCTTGCAGATCGATGGAGTATTAATATCCAAATTCGGATGCTTCATTTGAGTAGATCGATTACTCGGTGATTGAAAACGGTTTGACGGTCGATTACTCGGCTTGGGGTGCAGCTGTTGGGGTGCTATAATCATCTTCTCGAACATCTTTGGCTTTTCTGCACCGCATATTCGTTTGAATTGGATGTTTCGTTTTTCTAGGTCCACTTGGAGGTCGAACATCGGCTTGTTGCAGGACCAGGGGTTTCTGAAATGGAGTTTTAGGAGTTTATGAGTTTGTTGAGAAGGGCTGGAGGGATTTGGGATGAAAGGGGTGGTGAGAGATTGGGAGAGTGGGATTTTGAAATTTGGGGAATTTGGAATTTGAGGTCTAGGGAATTTGGAATTTTGGGAAGTTGGAATTTTGGGAATTTGGAATTTTGGGAATTTGGAATTTTGGGAATTTGGAATTTTGGGAATTTGGAATTTTGGGAATTTGGAATTTTGGGAATTTGGAATTTTGGGAATTTGGAATTTTGGGAAGTTGGAATTTTGGGAATTTGGAATTTTGGGAGTTTGGAAGTTTGGAAATTTGGAATTTTGGGAATTTGGAATTTTGGGAGTTTGGAAGTTTGGGAATTTGGAATTTTGGGAATTTGGAATTTTGGGAATTTGGAACTTGGGGAATTTGGAACTTGGGGAATTTGGAACTTGAGGAATTTGGAACTTGGGGAATTTGGAATTTGGGGAAAATGGTATTTGGGGAATTTGGAATTTGGGGAATTTGGAATTTGGGGAAAATGGAATTTGGGGAAATTGGAATCTGGGGAAAATGGTATTTGGCGAAATTGGAATTTGGGGAGATTGGAATCTGGGGAATTTGGAATTTTGGGAAATTGGAATTTGAGGAGATTGGAATCTGGGGAATTTGGAATCTTAGGAAATTGGAATTTGGGAAAATTGGAATTTTGGGAAATTGGAATCTGGGGAATTTGGAATTTTAGGAATTTGGAACCCTTACAATTTTGAAATTTTAGAAATTGGGAAATTTAGAAATTTGTTGCCTCTGAAATTTTGAATTTTAGGAATTTCTGACTCACATACTTTGAAACCTTGAAATTCAAAACTTTGTAACTCTACAATTACCTATAATTATAAAAACCGTGAGACTCTCTAATTGTAAGACTTCACAATTTCACAATCAGAATAAAATATATTAATAACAAAATACTGTGTACTTATAAATAATCTAGATAAATGTTGCATATTAATTTCAGGTGTCAGGTTTACCCTTCTAACGATATCTTCTTCAAACGCTGCAACGGCCGCAGCACCATGCTACTCATCTGAATCATCAAATTATACGACAGATCAAGTCGACGAATGTTTGCGAGTCCATTGAACGTATTCTGAGGTAACTCACTGATGCGACAGCCGTTCAAACTGAGTTCCTGAATTCGGATTATTTATACGTTATTAAACAAAATATCTTTTCTGATACCAATAAACAACAATTGTATTAATTATTACCATTAACGTAGGTGAATACAATATTGGCACATTCGAATTGAAATTATTATGCGCTAACTTTAACGTAGCTAAATTGGGACTCTGCAGGAAGACATCAGGTAAAATGAAGTAAAGATGATTGTTCGATAAATCTAACACGGTTAAGTTTGTTAACCCCTCGAAAGCGTTAATACGAATCTCCGTAATTGAATTCCGTGAAAGATTTAGGTATAACAGATTTACGTATCCTGCGTCCTAGAACAATTTTAAAGTTACGTGACTGTGGCTGAACATGCACAGTTCTGGCATTGACGTTATTAGGAATCTTTGTTTATAGATTAGGCAATTTTTATTTGAACATTTTCACTCTTTATGTGGATGTGGTTTGTTACTATCGATAATAATCAAAGTGGGTGATGAACGATTAAGGGTGCGAAATATTTGCTAAATACCCTTATTTCTGACTTACACCGGTGAATGTCGACATTCACCAGATTTTAGTCTTTCACGGTAACGTATATGTATAAAGCATATGATCAATGTATACCACGATCAATGTATATCACGATCAATGTATATAAAGCATATGATCAATGTATACCACGATCAATGTACACAAAGCATATGATCAATGTGGACCATGATTAATGTATATAAAGCATATGATCAATGTATACCATGATCAATGTACACAAAGCATATGATCAATGTGGACCATGATTAATGTATATAAAGCATATGATCAATGTATACCACGATCAATGTACACAAAGCATATGATCAATGTGGACCATGATTAATGTATATAAAGCATATGATCAATGTATACCACGATCAATGTACACAAAGCATATGATCAATGTGGACCATATGATCAATGTATACCACTATATGATCAATGTATACCACGATCAATGTATTGTATAAAGTATATGATCAATGTATACCACGATCAATGTATTGTATAAAGTATATGATCAATGTATACCACGATCAATGTATTGTATAAAGTATATGATCAATGTATACCACGATCAATGTATTGTATAAAGCATATGATCAATGTATACCACGATCAATGTGTTGTATAAAGCATATGATCAATGTATACCACGATCAATGTACATAAAGGATATGATCAATGAGGACCACGCCAGATACAAGCTGTGACCAAAGCAAAGGGTGGACAAGATACTGCCATGCTTTAATAATGATACGTACAATAGTATCATGGTAGCTAATAAATTATCACAATTTGAACAGACCGTAATTTTACCAAAACCGTGAAAAATGCTAAAAATTTGTAGCGTAATTAAAAGTCGTCCAACCCAAAGTCGTTTTGGAGGGGGTCCCAATTACGTCATTGCCATTCGAGAACAAAAACAAACGTACCATCAATTCGTAATCGCCTAATAACGATATGACATTATCCGACAAATCCAAAGCCAGCACGTCGGTGGGTGCACCTGTGTCTATGCTGTAAAGATGGCGGCTCGTGCAAGAAGCGCGCTGCAACCCGTACCAAGTGTCACACACGCAGAACGAAGAACACTGTTGCGGGGCTTCTGTTGAGACTACGCTTCCCGCGAGAATCGAAACGAGCGAAACAGCTAAACTAGCAACGGTGTCACCGACCATCTTCAAGATTTTCGCGAGGTTTCTTCTAATTTGTATATTACAACCACTAAAATTGAATGAGTAGCAATTTCACTCGTGATATGGCCGTTGCGTTTCCGTGTATGGCTCATGATCACTCAACTAACGTAATCTTATCGCAACACACCTGTGTGTGTAATGTGATGTGTCAACCATTGGGTACGTCATCGGATAAATTTCGATCATGGCGTTTTACTATTTTATCTTTTTTTCGAAGAGTGTAGCTTAAATTAGAATTTGCTTAAATTAGAGTTTGCTAAATTAGAGTTCGTTTCTTAAATTAGAATTCTCAAGTAATTTGTAACGAGCCACGATTTAGTATACATCATTATTTTAACTGTTTATAGCAACACTTCAGAAGTGCCCATACCGGTGTTCATTATACTCGCATGAGACATTATCTCAGAAACGGTTATTCCTACGAAATAAACCTATAGAGCCTTTCTTGTAGAGAATTTCCTCAGCTACAAATTCTGTAATAACTATTTTTATCGTAAAATTGATAGATAACAAGATATCCGCGAATAACCCTTAATCAAATATTAAGCATCGTGGCTAAATTCATGTGGACCTTGATCGCATTTCGAAAAGGTCCACAGAAAATAGCTTGTTATTCCAGAGATTGGTCACAGTGTTTAATTTCCTTGGACTAGATAGGCCTTCCAAAGTAGCTTAAAATAAAACCAGAAAAACAGGACGATTTGTCAGGAAATGTCTCATCCCTTTCAATATCCAGGTGTGTTTATCGACGACAATTCTGAGCGGTAAACAGGATTTTTCCTTAAAAGGAAACTACAATCGGGGATTAGATATTATTTGTCAGTCTTTCCGATTCTTTCAATGTGACTGACACGCCTTGTTGGCAACAATAGAATGTCATAAACACAGGGTGATCCTTTAGGAAATCAGTTTACCACAGACCCAATGACCGCGATAAATATCGAAGGAACTGTTAATAGACAACAGGAACTTATATCGGTTGAGGGGACAAATAAACTGCCATACATTTATATATTCTTTATTCGATAACCAGAAAAACAAAAAAATATAAATTATCTGCTCGGTTCGCACAACACGGCGATTACTTTTCTGAATACAATACGGTGTTTTGCTACCACGCAGCCTTATTATTGTATGATGTACTTTCTGAATATGCAATGGAATAATCACGGGGAAATAATAAAAGGTTTTTGTAAAAGAAAAATTCTTTATTCACTTAATATTCCTGCATAGAAAGTGTTCCCACAAGAATTTGAAACGTGTGCTGCGTTAAGCAGCTATGCTAATGCGATGAAGATGACTAACACGTTACACTGACAACAAGAAATTACAATTATAATTTACAATGCATATGAACGGGGCATAAAGGGAGCTCTTTGTCATTGGCGGACGATGGGCTTTTGTTCTGGGTGGGCTCATTAGGTCTATGGCAATATAGGTTTATGGCAATGTAGGGGGAGTGGGTATGAGGAGTGGGGTTTTGGGGATTTGAGGAGTTGGGAGGCGGGAAGTTGGGAAATTTAGATTTGAAAGTTTGGGTAAGGAATTTAGGAAGACTGAAGGTTTGGAAATTTGGGTATTTGGAAGTTGGGGATTTAGAAGTTGGGAATTTAGCAAGTTGGGGATTTGGAAATTTGGGGGTGTGGAAATTGGGGATTTAGAGAGTTGGGAATATGGAAATTTGGGGGTTTGGTAATTTGGAGATTTGGAAATTGGGGATTTAGAGAGTTGGGGAATTGGAAATTTGGGGGCTTGAAAATTGGGGATTTAGAGAGTTGGGAATATGGAAATTTGGGGGTTTGGTAATTTGGAGATTTGGAAATTGGGGATTTAGAAGTTGGGAATTTAGCAAGTTGGGGGTTTGGAAATTTGGGGGTGTGGAAATTGGGGATTTAGAAAGTTGGGAATATGGAGATTTGGGGATTTGGAAATTTTGGGGTTTGGAAATTGGGGATTTAGAAAGTTGGGGATTTAGAGAGTTGGGGAATTGGAAATTTGGGGGCTTGAAAATTGGGGATTTAGAGAGCTGGGAATATGGAAATTTGGGGATTTGGAAATTTTGGGGTTTGGAAATTGGGGATTTAGAAGTTGGGCATTTAGGAAGTTGGGGATTTGGAAATTTGGGGGTTTGGAAATTGGGGATTTAGAGAGTTGGGAATATGGAAATTTGGGGGTTTGGTAATTTGGAGATTTGGAAATTGGGGATTTAGAAGTTGGGGATTTAGAGAGTTGGGAATATGGAAATTTGGGGGCTTGAAAATTGGGGATTTAGAGAGTTGGGAATATGGAAATTTGGGGGTTTGGTAATTTGGAGATTTGGAAATTGGGGATTTAGAGAGTTGGGGAATTGGAAATTTGGGGGCTTGAAAATTGAGGATTTAGAGAGTTGGAGAATTGCAAATTTGGGGGTTTGGAAATTGGGGATTTAGAAAGTTAGGAATATGGAAATTTGATAACATGGAAATTGGAAGATTTGGAAATTTAGTGTTTGAAAACTTAAGAACATAGGAACTTTGAGATTGAAAACTTAACAACATGGAAATTCAGTGACACAAATTCCTAAGTACTCCAAACATAACTTATGTTTCCACAGCTCCAGAAATCCTCTAACTTAAAATTCAAGTCATCCTACCATGTATTAACTAGAAATCAGCTAATACAATTATCCAGAAATACAATTATACAGAAATTAATTGAAAACTTAATTTTTATTTCACTCAGCTTGAAAAAACTCTATCACTCTATTTTATGATCGTATCCTAGCTACGCCAATGGTACTCGCTACAATGATCGTAACGGAGTAGCCGGTGACAATTAAACTCACTAGCCCTTGGCACCTCTTCGAGGGGTAGGATCGAGCTAAACAGCGTATCGTTTATTGCGCAACATCCACGGAAATAAATCTAGGATAGGCTGCTGAGAATGCGTGGACCGTTGCCTTCTATTCGGCCTTAACATCCCTCCCCGCTCTGCCCCTTTGCATCTTCCGGCCATTTTCATTGCTCGTCCTCTGCGCCGCCATGACAAGCATACGGTATGCCGCTGCAACTGCCTCACCTTCCTCGACACCGCCTCCGATCGATTTGTCGTTGTAACTCTGTTTTCCAGCCGAGCCGGCATCTCGTTGTCTCTGACCTCTCGGGAATCACTTCAAAATGGACGTGCGATCACGGTCATGCACCGGTTTCCCGAAACCTATTACGCACCGGCTGAGAAAATGTATCTCGACCGATGCAGACTATCCACTCCGTCGTATTTCGTCACTGGCGCCCTCAGCTGACGAACAACTAACTCTATTATTTTTTTCCGCCCAAACTGCTCGTTGATCGAGCAATTTTTCCTCGAACGCGAAATATGGGACGAAAATACGCCGGTCGACTTTTTGTCGTCCCTCCACGACAGTCTGAGGATTTGTTTTTTATAATCTACTTTATTTATGCAAGCTCGAACTTATTTATCAAATAAAATACAGTTTACTCGTCGGTGCAGCGATTTGGAAATAACTTCGAAGGTGAGGTGGTTTGGAAAACATTCTCCGAAACATCGCGCGAAGATATTTCACTCGGCGCGTGTCGTCACCGACCTTCTCAGCTGACGTAAAATGGCCGCGTTCTACTGACAGCTGAACTACAACCACGTATTTCTCTGCTAAAACGCGTCGCACGAGCACGAAACAAACTGTCAATCGTTTTCTGCAGAGATCACTGACGGTCCGTGTGGAAATTTTCGAGAAATCAAGAGTATTTCATGGGAACGATGTTACAGTATGGTGTTCGGTCGGCAGTGGGAGAGTCTCCCCGAGCGACGCCTCTTTGACCAGAGCTTCGTGCGTATCGGCAGACTGATCACTCGCTCGGATTTCGTCATAGCCGTACTCAGCTGATGACAAAATGACCGTCTCGCGTATTTAACTGCCAGCTGATTACTAAAATTTCACCGGTAAATACTGCGACGACAACGGTATTTCGACTAATTTTTATATTGTCGCTCGATGGAACAAAGAGAACACGTGTGGGTGCTCGTGTGGCGCGTTTATAATCAGAGTATTTCGCGAGATGCGAAAGAGGAACGACAGAAGGGACGCCGAGTACAGCCATATGCAGTGGCAGATTAACGCACTCGCAGGCCCCTCATACGTTCAAATAAAAATATAAAATTTGAAACAAAACACCATTTTTAAAATTCTGAGACTCATAAATTTTGTCAAATTTAAAATTTTTTAATCTTGGAGACTTGAATATTCTTTTGATGTTAGGTTCAGAATTTTCTGACTTTCTGATTTGAGACTTCTGAACTTCAAACGGGACTTTGAGACTACGTCGAGGTGTTTTGAAAGTTCGAGGCTCCGATTTTGAAACTTAGACTTCCGTATACCGAGGTTTCGAAAAGGACTTTCCAATTTTGAAACCGAGAAAAGATTTTAGAAATTGAGACTACAAGACTACAGAACTTAAGGACTACAAGATTTGAATTTTGACTTCAAGAACTAAGACTTGAAAATTTTCGAGCCTGATAAAAATTTTGTACCACAACAAATTTTGCGTAAATAATCATAGCAGTAGGCCCTCATAAAATCAATGAAACCCAAAAAAGTTAGCCATGCCCAAAATAAAAAAATTTTGAAAGTAAAAGAAAAGAGTAAGATGAGAGAAGGAAAAGTTGTGGCGAAGTAAAAATTTGCGTGGCACCCCGGTGAGGTATGAGCACGTGTTTGATCCATCCCTGGCAATAGGAAAAGAGGAGAGGGCTGAGAAAGTGGAATGTCTGAGCGAGCGAAGCGCTTTGGTTAGGGTTCTGGTCTGCGATTTTTTCCCGTTCTTCTCGTTGTCCGGGTGGCCGGCCAATGAGAGTAAGTAGGTCAGCGGCAGCGTCCAATCGGTGCTCGAGGCCGGGTCACGTGGGTTTGTTGTTATCTATCAGCTGTTTTTCCCGGGCGGGCGGGCGGCCGGCCGGCGCAGTGAAAGCCGCTTGCTCGTCTGTCCTCAGTCCCTCCCGGTCGCTCAGCTGTGCGTCACATGTCGGGTATCGCGAGTCCTACTCTTGCCCGTATACAATCGAACCGTGTACCGCTTGTTCGTTCAGGCTACCATACAACGCCGTATTTCTCTCAGCCGGCAGGCGTCACTTATATATTATGGTATCTACCGCGTGCACTCCGACGCGTTATCACAGATCAATCACGAAGTGCCTCGAACATGCGGACGGCGTGACGAACGCAGGCAACGGTGCACGCCGTTTTGTTGATACGTTGAGTTCTGTGTTCAGGCCGCGAAGGCCACCGCGTCCCTTTTCGTTTTAGAATCAACCGCGCGGTTGTTCGATTCATAGAAAACTGCCGTACGCACGAGTTATCGTGGAACGATGACCTAAAGCGACGTTCTTGCAAAACGGAGTTCGGCGAAGTAGACAAACGAGAAAAAATAAGGAGAAATAATCGGTGCGTTCAGTAAGTGTTTACCGGATGTTCGGCCGATTCGCAGATACAATATCAAACCGCTGGTGGTGTCTTGTGAGTTTCGAACTGCCGTTCCAGGTGTGATCGTACGTTTGCTCGCGTGTGATTTTGTCCGGGTGCAAATGAGTTTCACGAGAGACCAGCCAGATACTTTAGAAGGCAAAAAGTGAGAAGTGAGAATCCGAGTGTATCCTCGTCGAACGTTCGTCGACTTACGAGGTGATCAACGGGAAGTCGCTTATCCAGAGACACCACGAAATAATGTCGACCGGCAAGAGGCTGGCGAAACGCAGCATAATCGGCACCAGAGTGTGTGCTCCCGGCGAGGACGGGAAGTATTATAGTGGCGTCATTCACGCCGTAAAAACGCCGGCGTCAGCCGCATCCGAGTCAGGCCTCAGCATCACACCGAAGACTCGGTACTCCGTGCGTTTCGATTCCGTGCCCGGTGGACGTCCACCTAGTCCCAGCACCGAATACTCCGATCGCGACCTGATCGGACCTGGTTTCGGATCCGTTACCAGCGCGCGGCTCGTGCCGGGCCAGAAAGTTTATCTCACGTATAACGGACGGGAAATTCACGCGGAGGTCACGCAACATCGTGAACACCTCGACGAGGTGGAAGTGATTATTGCACCCAACGGCCAAGAGGTAAGCGAACTCATTTTATACGATGTCCGGATATATAACCGCTATACTACAGTTCCTGCAACTGTCGGTATCGGATTTCAGAAACAACAAAGTTTCATATTTTTACATTTTTATCTAAATTAATATTCAGATTCGTGGCTATTGACTTTCATTAACGAAAGTTAATTTATACCGTACTTAGTAATAATTAGTTTACTTTATATCAGTATTTAGTATTACAGTTATCGGTTCAGTTCATGATTGCATATTTGGACATCACTGTAACTGTAACAAAAAATTAGTGTGCTTAATAACAATTAGTTTACTTTATATATATTTAGTATTACAGTTATTGGTTCAGTTCATGATTCCATATTTGGACATCACTGTAACTGTAACAAAAAATTAGTGTGCTTAATAACAATTAGTTTACTTTATATGTATTTAGTATTACAGTTATCGGTTCAGTTCATGATTGCATATTCGGACATCACTGTAACTGTAACATAAGCGTACTTAACAACAATTACTTTATTTTATATGAAAATTTAGTATTTCAATTATCGGTTCAGACATCTAACTGTAACATAGTACGAATGATAACTGTACATCTCTGTATAGTAACAGATGTATTTATTTCTTATTTGTACATAGTCTAAACGTCTACCCATAGATTACTGTATCATTTCCTGTTACTTTACAACTACACAATTTCCTGTTACTTTACTATACTACTATTTTAATATTATGTTGTATATATTGTTACAATACCATCTCACTGTCGTTCATTATGAGAATATTCGCTTAAACATAATAGTAAGATATGTATAGTAAAGAACAGCAGTTCTATAATACATTAATATTGTGAGATAGTGCAATTAGTGGTAGAATGGGATATAAGTATAGCGGCGTAGTATATCCTAGCAGTGAGACTACGATAGAATTAATGGAACAGTGGAATATTAAAATAGTGGTATAGTACCGTACTGTAGCGAAATAATAGAGTTAGTAAAAAGATTTAAACTGGTAAAAGGTAAAAATTTAAGTTGGCGAATATAGCGAAAAAAAATTAGTACTCGCTACTCCCTAATCCCTGAGATTACTATAAATTTAAAGCAGTAAAGAGAATTTAAATTAGTGAAAATATTTGGTTCGTCGAAAACGGACCAGCTGTTCCGAATTTTTTGCGAGTTTACCGCGGAGTGCAAAGCGTAAGAAGCCGCAAATGAAACGTAACGAGCGAAGCGCGCATGAAACGTAATTGCGTCTGCGCGCGAGCGATACTCCTTTCTCGCTCGTGCTTTTCCAAAGAGCGGGGAAACGCGTTCGCGGGCCGCCGATAACACGCCATCATCATCAGTCGTATCGATGACATGCTCGACGAATTGCAGCGGCGGCGTGTTTACGTAGGCCAGAGCCACGAGTTGCCGAGGGGATGCCGCGAGACCGGCCGAAAGGTAAGACGACACGCGACGATGACAGCCGGCTATGGCTGTTGCCGGGTGGAAACGTGTGCGTGCGTGTCGTTAATCAGAAAATTTAATTTTCGTGACCCCGTTCTTCGACACGGCTATACGGTGCTTGTCCCATATACGCGGCGCGCATGAGCGACGATAAACGCTCCCTCTGCTCGCCAACGGGATACAGAGGGATGGGAAGGGGTCACAACGCGTTACCTTGCAACGTTCAATCTGGATACGAACGCAGCGCACCGTTTATACGGCTAATCGCGAGCTGCCGCTTCGATCGAATCCGTTTCATTGCCGGTCCGATACAGCGCCGATCGACAACGCGCGAAAGGGGACTACGGCCGAGGTTAACCAAGCGTGCGCCTCGATACTGGGTTAAATACTGGGATTATAGGATTTTCGACATTTACGATTCTTTCAATTTTTGGACTCCATAAGTTTGGAATTTTGGGGTTTTGAAGTTTGGGACCTCAGGGATTTGGTACTCTGGGTGTTTTGAATTTTGGACATTTGGGATTTCGACATTTCTGATTCTTTCAATTTTTGGATTTTATAAGTTTAAACCAGTTGGAATATTTGGGGTTTTGAAGTTTGGGACCTCAGGGATTTGGAACTTTCGGGGGTTTGAGGTTTGGGACTTCAGGGATTTGGTACTCTGGGGGTCTTGAACTTTGGCAATTTAGGATTTGGACATTTTTAATTCTTTCTATTTTTAGATTTTATAAGTTTAGACCAGTTGGAATTTTGGGGATTTTGAAGTTTGGGACCTCAGGGACTTAGAACTTTTGGGGGTTTGAAGTTTGGGACTTCAAGGATTTGGTACTCTGGGGGTTTTGAATTTTGGCAATTTAGGATTTCGACATTTCTGATTCTTTCAATTTTTGGATTTTATAAGTTTAAACCAGTTGGAATATTTGGGGTTTTGAAGTTTGGGACCTCAGGGATTTGGAACTTTCGGGGGTTTGAGGTTTGGGACTTCAGGGATTTGGTACTCTGGGGGTCTTGAACTTTGGCAATTTAGGATTTGGACATTTTTAATTCTTTCTATTTTTAGATTTTATAAGTTTAGACCAGTTGGAATTTTGGGGATTTTGAAGTTTGGGACCTCAGGGACTTAGAACTTTTGGGGGTTTGAAGTTTGGGACTTCAAGGATTTGGTACTCTGGGGGTTTTGAATTTTGGCAATTTAGGATTTCGACATTTCTGATTCTTTCAATTTTTGGATTTTATAAGTTTAGATCAGTTGGAATTTTGGTGGTTCTGAACTTTGGGACCTCAGGGATTTGGAACTCTGGGTATCTTGAACTTTAGCAATTTGGGGTTTGCAACTATGAGAGTTTGGATATCAGATGTTGGAACTTTGGAACATTTAGGCTGTGGAAATTTAGAACTTTGAGACACTAATGCTTGGCACTTGGTATCTTGGGATGGGGATGTTTGGGACCTGGGGTTTTTTGCTCTTAGAGTCCTCAGGTCTTGACTTGGGGTCTTCAAGTCTTGACCTGGGTTCTTTTAAATTTAGGATACTTCTGAACTTGGGGATCTTTGGGTTTTGACTTACAATCCAAGTCTTGACTTGGAGTCATTAGGTCTAGACTTAGGGTCTTTCAGACTTGGAGTGCATCTGAACTTAGAGTTTCTGGGACTTCACTACGAGTCTTTAGCCTTTGACTTTGAGTCCATTAAGTTCTGATTTAGGATCTTTTGGATTTGGAGTAAACTTGAGATCTCTGGGTCTTGACTTGGACTCTTCAAGTCTTGACTTGGTGTCTTTAAGACTTGACCTGGGTTCTTTTACATTTAGGATACTTCTGAACTTGGAGTCTATAGATCTTGACTTACAATCCAAGTCTTTACTTGGAGCCATTAGGTCTTGACTTAGGGTCTTTCAGACTTGGAGTGCATCTGAACTTACAGTCTCTAGTACTTGACTATGAGTCTCTAGGTTTTGATATTGAATCATTAAGCCATGACTTCAGAACTGGTTTATTTTTAAACTTAGGATCTTTGGGTCTTGACTTGGAGTCTCTAAGTCCACACTTGATATCTTTCAAATTTGGAATTCTTCTAAACTTGAGGTCTTCGGGCCTGGAGGACTTAGACACTTTGGGATTTTGAAAGTTTGGGTTCAAAGTACTATAGTATTTGACAATTCCTTCGTCAACAGTTAGGAACCTTTGGATTCAAGGAAGACTTTCAATTTGCAAACACAGAGATCTAGAAGTTTCCAAGTTTGTAATATTTAAGTTTCAAACTGCACACAAAATGACACGTACAAGTGAGTCGCAAAGCCGCCTGTAAAGTTTAGGAAGCCCCGTCGATTCTAACGGATATCGCGAAGGAGCGTAATCTAGCAAGCGCACCAGATTAACGAATGGTTGAAGAGGAAATACCTGTGCGAGTGTTGCGGTGCATCCGGCAGAGGTATTAGAGTGACACGATACACGCAGCGATGCCAGTCCGTCGATTTTCGACACGCCTTTCTCGAGTTACGGCCGGATAGAATCCGTTCGGGGCACGTACACGCTTCTCGGTTCAGGCCTGGAGTTTTTTGCAGATTCGTAGAAAAGCGTAGCGAGCGCAACGCAATAAATACCCCATAAAACGAGGGATAACGTTATTACGGTCGGTCAGGCGTGGCAGAGAAGAGAAAATATACGGAGCCTCGATACCGCTACGTGGGCGCGGTTAGATTCGTAATGAGAGGCACTGCCTATCCGTAAGCTAGGCTTTCGCGCGTGTATACACATGCGGGAGAGGTTGGTTTTATGCGCGAACCGACTATGCCAGTGCTTGCCAGTGCACTGGCTACCGGTGACCCCACGTGGAACGCATTAGCGCAATATCTTTTCTACCTCCGTTAGGTAGCTCAGGCGTGACCGCAGTTCCATTTCGTGGAAACTTTGCCGTGCACCTCGTTCGGAAAAATCAACCGGATCTGGTCGGACCAAAGTGTCCGGTTCCGATATTTTTTTTTTACGCTCGGTGAACGTTATGCTCGTTTCGTGCGACTTTGCCCGGGAAATCGTTGCGTGTGCCGTTTTATTGGCCCACTATTTACTGTTTGTTATCTAACGTGATAGAAATTCGATGTTACCTAAAGGGTTACGTGTACCCACTTCGCTTTGCTCTCGTTTCGACTCCTTTTCCCGCCTGCCTTTTTCTTCTCTTCGATTTTCACTCGCTCTCCCCCATTTATTACCGCATATTTTCCAGTTTTCGCATTTATACTCGTTAACGATTCCGCGTAATTCTGAATTGTAACGCCGTAATTAATGTATCGGTCTGACGCAAGTAGCTCTTCGCGCCGTTACCTGTTTACACAGGGAACACATACGGGAACATATATGGTTGACTTTTAGTGACGTCGAAGGTTACCGAAGCGTGAATCGGTAAATACTTGGACGTCGTTTATCTGTTGGCGCAAGCACGCGTAAGTAGTAATTTTAAAGCTTCCGCACGTTCTGCCGGGTATCGTGAGCAAACCTGTTTACATATGCAATTTCGCAACGTTCATTTTGCGATCTGACACTTCGTTGAATGATTAGCCTC